AAATACCCTCGAAATCCAGACGATCCTATATGCAAAGCAGTGGTCATTGAATAGCAGACCGATGATCCTCGATATAAGAGAACATGAATTTTCTCGCTTTAATGTACTCATTGATTATAAATTTACTGCTGCATCGCAAGTCAACTGAACCAAGCCAGGAAGAGATTTTATCGTGAGTACTAATAAAACCTCTCTCAAAACTCATACAAAAAATATCCGTTTTTCTCTTGTCTTGTGCATACGTGAGTTGCCTGATTAAAAGAGGGTCCAAGGGTCGCTCGCGGTTACACACTCTGTTGTGCCAATAGAAAAAAGTGGCGGGGGTATTTAAAAAGTACGAATTACGAAATCACCCTGTATTGAGTAGATCTAAAAAAGCTTATAAAATAAGAGGGGAGATGAAAAAGTCTCAAAATGTAATATTCGAATACTCTGAAATTCCTTACTCTTTAATCATTCTTTTTTGGGTTCTTTTTGTATCGGTAAAATGGAATTTAATTAAGTGATACAATTTGTACTCAATTTTGTGTTGAGTGATAATTTTTTTTTACTGGTTTGGAATCAACTATGTAGTAACTGTTTTATCAACTTGATCATCAAGAGTTTTTACAAGCTATTTTAATGAGTAGTCTATTATAGAATTTCTCTTTACTGCGGAACGTTAACAAATCATTCTCTACTGATCTTTACCCGGGTGCGCTATCCACTAGATAAACCTCTGTCTAGTGGATAACACAATTGGTTTCCCTAATACGTATATCAAGCGGATATATAGTGAATTATCCGGTGGACCGTACGTGCTATAAAACTATTCTTTTGAACCGACCGGGAGCCGGAAGACATTCGATTCTTGCGTCTTTTATATGAAGGCTCTTTACTTCGACGAAATCAAAGTCGCGACGATCGCTATTGGTTAAAGGACGATCTTAAAAATTAACGCGACGATCGGATCGCTATTCAGATCGAGTATGACAACGATAGTAGTGCAATCATGGCAAAGAAATCTGTCAAAAAATGTGCCCACTTTCAGAGTCTTTGTTTCGCTTATTTAACCTGTTTTATTATTATTGTTATTATTATTATTATTATTATTATTATGTCGCAGTATGAAACTTTGGAATGCTGTCCACATTATGAGTAGTATAGGGCGCATAGCGTAACCTACACCACTTGAGACGAAACCTAATACAATCCTAAAATACACAGTGATATGAATCTCTCTACTTAAAAAGCCAATTTAGAATATTATTAAATTCTGATACTCTGTAAAACCTTCGCTAGACACTCTTCCTCTTTCTTTGACCGGAATAAGACTCGGCCCCAAACAAGCAAGACGAGTGAATGAATCAACGGCTAGCTTTTCACTAGCAGAACGATAGACGATTACAGAAATTCGCCGACCATCAAATTCTGTGCTGACTTATTCCCTGCTCACAGATGTCCTTCCACTATATGTTTAAAATAAGACTAAAATGCGCGAGGTTGAATTGATCAAACGTCCTTCTAATTTCTAAGGCTTACTTTCCAGCAAATAAAATGAACTTAATGTAAAAAGTGAAATAGAAATAACGAAAAATTAAACTTCTAATCAAATCTTTTCTTATGGTTTAGAATAAACTTTTCTCGAAACTGAGAATGTTTTGATCAAAGCTGTGTAAATTGAACCGAAACTGTGCATGGAAGCTTGCGTTTATTTCCTGTATTTATCTCACCTATATTTATATTTATTTCCGGTATTTATCTCACGGACACACAACGAGCAAGAATGCTATTGACCGACAATATACAGAGCGGGGGCAGCTGTAGTGTTAACTATGACCAGTTATTATTATTATTATTACTACTATTACCGTAAAATTCCGAAAATAAGCCCCCCAAACCGGTAACGCATCCGTTAAATCGTCCCACCAAATATAAGCCCCCACGGCGGCTTGTACTTGGAAAATTGCCCTCAATTACAAAGTAAAACAAAGCATAAACGGTAAATTTACCTTCAACTCAGCCTTCAACTATAAGGCTACCCCAATCGATTTCCCTCCGTAGATAAGCCCATCCAAATATAAGCCCCTAGATAAATAAGCCCCTTAAAAAGAGCCTTTGAAAAACGTAAGCCCCGAGGCTTATTTTCGGAATTTTACGGTATTTTCTCGTTTCCTTCGTCATCGCCTGGTTGCTCAAGCTTGCTCCTGATATGCGACAATTTCGTTGAAAACCAGACGATTTGATGGAACACTCGCCCCATATGCATGTAAGGCAATCGACCAAGGCAGTCTTGGATTCTGGCATAGACTACACGCCATGGATTCCGGTTCCTTTGTCAGTGGAACTTGGATTCCGGATTCCAATCGTTGATGGGATTCCGAATTCCAAAACCCAGGATTCTGAATTCCACAAGCAAAATTTTCCCGAATTCCGTAAACCGGGTTCCCTTACATTAGAGAGCTTTAGATTCTAAGACGAGTACGACTACGAGTACGAGATTTTCTCAATACTAAGAAGTGCTCGCGCTAGCGTCATTTTGGCGGGAAAACGTGGTAGCCGTCGTCATTCTCTTACGATTTTTAGCGAGAATGTCTTAATGGCGGAGACGAGTTATCAACTGTTAGAAGTTTTATCATTTTGCGATCGAGAAAGCGCGTAACCTCCTTCACTCAGAAGATAACAGTGCTAACTTTTCGAGTGAAATATGGTAAACTAAAGCTTTCCGGGAAGTCTATATATATTTTGAGAATACGCGAAAAAACTTTAAGTCACATCTCGTACTCGTAGTCGTCCTAATCCTCAAATCTAAAGGTCTCTATTAGTATAGGTAATAGAATGATTTGTAGCGATATTTGGCATAAATACCACGAGTGATATTTCGAAATTGTTATACGTAATTTCACGAGCCGTCAGGCGAGTGAAATTTGAGACAATATTGAAATGTCAGGACTGGTATTTATGCCAAATATCACGTACAAATCATGCTATTATTTGTTTATACTACTACCCGCAAAGGTTTTGTAATTTTCACATGTAGGTATTTCAAATTAAGCTGAAATACCACTGCTCTAAGCCAATCAAATTGCAGAAATTTCTCATGTAGTAGTATAATGGGGAAAAACACGCGACGAAAGCGACTTGGTCTCCATAGAGGTGCTCTATATTACAGTATAAACATGATTGGCCCAAGGTCCACCTTTGCCATCAGCTCCACAGTCGTTAGATTGCCCATATTTGTCAAAAGTCTGTGGAGCTGAAGCACTGGATGCACACCAGCCGCCATGCTGAACACCAAACATACTGTAACCTGCTCTTATTGCAGCAACCGCACACTTGGCAATAGCATTTTTTCGAACTCGGTAGTGTCCGTCCAAAATAGGATCCCTCCTCTCCAGGGGTGGAATTGCCCGATCCCAGGTATCTCTGTAGCATCCAACGCTATCATATCCTGAAAAATGGAATTTGCGTTGGTACTAATGAATAACCAAAAAATACGAAAGAAATGTTTAACCGAATTTATGACGTTGGCTGACTACGTCATCCCGCGTAATTAGGCCCCGTCCACACGTGTTCAGGTTTTATTTAATTCGCCACTTCACAGAAACCTTGCTTTGTTACATCTTCGCGTTTCGTTATTACCATTTATGGCTTTGTTGCAAAATAAACAAACTACACTTGATGAAAATGGTGAAAATTTAATAAGCGCCCAGCCTTGAATAAGCGCCCACTCTCAAGGCCCAAAAATTTAATAAGCGCCCAGGGCGGTTAATCGAATAAATACGGTAAGCAAAACTTTTGCCGTTATACAGAAAGGCATCTGGTCCCAGTTGCAGTCAAAAAGGTGGAAAGTGCTATCCAATGGATAAATTACTATCCAAAGGATAGCGCACAATTGGTTCTCGTAATACTCATCAACCGAATAGCAATTTTCTAGGTGGAAATCGCTATCCAACCGTTTGACGATCAGGTTCTGCAGTATGTTTGAGATCTTGTTTCCCACCGACTATCCCGCGATTTCTATTGTTCAGTGCGACTCTGGTTGTGTCGCGAAATTCTCTCAACTGCTTCATTCCGTAAGATGATTGTTGCAGTCTGCAAATCCTAAGGTGCTACTTTAGATCGGGGATATACTACTAAGACCGTGGAACCCTTATAGTCTATAGCAGATCAAGAGATCCTGTCTTGACTCTTACCAGATTTAGTTTAGCTGACTTTTGTTACACTATACCTGACTATTAAAACTCCCAAAATCCTTCCCATCCTTTAGTCGCTATTTCCAGACAATACCAAAGTCGACGCTTTTGCTATTAAACTGAGTTGTCAGCAACTTTGAATTTTCGGATTTCATGTTTTAGGTGTCAATTCGCAGTTTCCCAAGTCCAGACTAAAGTCATCAACCATTTGTTCAGTTTCCTGGAAAATGATACCCAGTTCTAGACCAAAACGCCCTGAATTCTATGACCCTATCCAAGACTAAACCGCTTGAAACCACAACCCTCAGAGTGGTACATTAAACATCATTATTGCATGACGCTGAATGGTTCATGTGAATAATTATGCAGGTCGAGAAGAATGTTTTTGGCCGAGGTGGATAACAGCCTCCGAGATCAGCATAATTCTTCACATCATACGAAAGCCCAATTCAATAATTGTTTTATTATTCATTCAAAATATTTCTTAGTTCTAGTAAAGTGAGCCTAAATCCTCGTACACTATGTTGAAAACTTAGTCTTTAGTTTTTTGGAAAGCCGAGAACGCCGTTTATTAATTTACTGTCACTTAAGCAGCCTCGATTTCAGGCAAATATACCATCGAACAACCTAAATATACCATCGCATCGATGATACATTGCTCGCATCTTCCAAATATGATAACTGCCAGTTGCTTATGAAAAAATGGCCGGAAGATTGGAGCGAATCAGAGACGGTGATATATTTTGGATGAACAATAAACCTATGTAGCCCATAGTTGGCAATGCTCCTCCCCGGAGCAGTGTTTTTTTTTTTTCTCTACGACCATTATATCGTACCTTTGATGTAATAAACGTGATTGTCCATCACTCCTCCTTCCCCATCAGACTGACAATCATTTGATTCTCCATATTTGTCAAACTTTTGCGGTGCTGTGGCACTTGAGAGACACTGACCACCATCCTGAATTGCAAAAATAATGAAACCCGCTTTGATGGCAGCCGACGCGCATTTGGAAATGGCGTTTTCTCGTTCCGTGAATGGTCCATCTAAAATTGGGTCCTGTCCTTCTAGACTTGAGATTGTTCGATTTGCGTTGTCCTTATAACATCCAACGGTTTCGTAAGCTGGAGGAAATGAGCAACAGATTATTTTCATCTTATTGCATTTAAAAAATATGACGAAATGTATGCCTGCTTATATTCTTTTAATGCAGCAAAATCAAACACACGATTAACAGTACATTATAAATTCTAGGTGGCGTCTCTGAAACTCGTTAACAACACATGGAGGAGAAACAAAGAAATGGAATGTTGATCGTCATAGCATGTTTCGAATTTCCAAGAATGAATTTCTCTAAAACTTGAATAGAGCTGATTATTTGAGGAGCTATATATAAACGCGCCTGCTAAAATGACGTGTTTCAACCAATATTCAGAAACATCAGAATCGGCGGGAAAAATGGGTCGCCGCTCTTTTTAATAACTTCAATTGTGTCTTGATATCAGTTGAAACACTCCCACTCGTGTTTGAATATTTCCACTGCTGGCCGCGGGATATTGATGAAACACTCCCACTGGTGATTCGTGTTTCACTTTCCATTTTGTCCTGATATCAGACGAAACGCTCCTTCATCTGTTTGGTATATCACCTCTGAGAGTCTGGATATCTCACTAGATTCTGCCATCCGTTTTTGAACACACGCAGTCACAGTGCTGGGATTTCGTGCGTGTTTGTTAAATCTCGGTGATTGAATATCAAACGAAACACTCCCACCCGTCTTCTTTAGACAATCTGTCAATGAGCGTCTCGATGTCAGAAAAAACACTTCCAGACATGTTTTAAATATTTGCAGATAGTTTTGTTTTCTTTTCAAATGTTTTGCAAATCATTTCAACCCATCTACCATATCCCTACATTGATTTTTCCCCCTCTTTATGTTTCCTCTCAATTCTTGATCTAATATGTATGATTCAATCAGTCTAGTTATTCCTCATTAGTAAAATTCAACTAGTGGTCTATTATCAATGCTGCGTTCTGATTGGTTGAGCTACTACTAGGTTATATCTTGTAGCCCACTAGTAGCGAAAAGCGCGGGCTTTTTGGCGACAAAAAGGGATTAAAGTCTAGCTTTAACTAGCTAAATTTTTTTTATTCTCGACATATTTGACCAACTAGTTGTATTTTACTAAAACAATTATTCCTCTCGCCCTTATGGAATAATTGTTAAATAGACGCACGTATAGTTACGAATTGTTTATAGTAGAACTACACCTTTAGGTTATTATACTTTTAATAGGTTATAGGTTATTCGCTTTACCTTTGCAAGCCTTGCCATCACCAGCAAACCCCTCCTTACATGAACACTGGTAAGATCCTTCACTATTCCGACAGATAGCATTTATATCACAGATGAAATATTTGAGGACAAAATTTGAAAGGAGTTGCTCGCTTAAAGCTACCAAGCAAACAACAGCCAAGCGATCCCACTGAATTGTCTCAAAACAACGCCTAAAGCACAGTCATGTCATTCTGTGAATCACAATATTTCTGAACCAAGCACAAATAATTATTGTTTCATTTGTTTTGTCATGAAAAAAGTACTTTGTCAACTTTATTCTTGAAACAAAAAATTGTGTGTGTAGCTAAAATCTGTGTGTTAGGTGAAGGGAAAACGAGTATTTAAGTTCCCCTTTAACTCGGTTGCCAAGTAAACTAGGAAGGCCATGCGCGCTCTTTTTGTTCTTTCCAGAAAGCAATATTCTGCCCCCTTAATTGTCCCCGAGTGTGCTTTCGTTCGTCCTGACGACCTCACAAAGTTGTGAGCAAGGGTTCATACAGAGTACTCCCTAGCTTTATTTTACTTCTTTTGAGTAACAATAACAAATGAAATCAAAGCTGGCTCTTAAAATAATTCTTAATCAGCAGCATCCTTCAGGTAATGGTGTTAGAAGGAATGGTAGAAAAACAAAATCGTTTTCAATTCATTTATTCTTACCCTGTCCACAATCTTCGCCGGTAAAACCCGGCGCACATACGCAACTATACCGTTTGTCTGTAAATCCCGACTGGCAGGTAGACTTGTTTTGGCATGGATTGACGTCGTCACAAGCAGTCTTTCAAGAAACAAATGAACGGTGAATGAGATGAAAAGGTATTAAATGATGTAGCAAATCTAAGTAATTAAAGCGAAACTTGTCTGGGTAAGACATGCAAAAATTTCCTACCCACAAAAAGGACAGTCGGCAGATATGGCAAATTAGACAATGTGACGACAGTGACATAGGCTCGCGCAGATCTAAAAACCGAAATGACCCATGGCCGAGAGGCTAATCAAAGCTCTGCAATTCGCTTTCACCTTTCAGCGCTCTATCATGTTCACATTTGCTGTTGTGTTGACTAAATCTGCCGAGTAGACATGCTGTTGTCTATTTCTGCATCCGATCTGCATACAGGAAAGAAAGTGTGGGTATTAAGTGGGGTACTTTTTCAAAAAAAGCCTCTCCTAGTTTTTACATGGCTACAATAGTATGCGCGATATGATTGGCTGTTTTCTTGTAATGACTGGGCATTACTAACAAGGTTTCCAAGGCATATACAATAGTGGACATCCCTATGGCCATACAGACAGCTGTCAAAAAAGGACATCCGCTGACCAGTGTCACCTGACTGTGTCGCGGGTTCAAGTGTACAACTCATTAAGGTGACGTGTTATCTACTGGCCAGTTGCCGGTTTTAATTGATCGCATGCTGACTGAGGCAGTCCATAGAGAAAAGGCCATATAATAAACAACTAACTGACCTCGTCCGTTTGGTCGTTACAGGGAAATCTCAGACCTCGGTCTTGATGTATTAGAGAGTTTTAGTTCGCTCGGTCAACCGCTGGAGGTCATCAAGGCCGTCACGTTTGAGGTTTGACGACGTGCGTTTTCAACGTGGGGAGGTAGGTTTTCACGTAGGTCATTTACCTGAAAGCTTTTAGCGTATAATTCTTGTTTTATCTCACGTAATGATACAAAAAAAATAAAGTCTTTATCCATTAACAGAAGCACAAAATTCGGCCGAAATACAAATTTGATAAACCCTTTCATTCAAAATGGTTGAAATCGGAAGGGTGTTAGGAAAATTTCTTTTATTTTCAAATATCCCAAATGGCCAGGGCCACTTTTTAATGCACAATCTAAATCGTTTTTGAACGTCAACCCAAAGTCCCGCAAACCGCGGTTAGGGTTCGCGTTCCTTTAAGATGATCCGGATCAGTTGAAATCGGAAGGGAGGTCAAATCACCCAGGCGGATCATAAGTTCCTTTAGATCCGGATCAAATCACTCGGATCATAGTAGATCAAATGCAAATGAACCGATGAATCCACTCTGGACAAGGATTCATTGGTTCACTTGATCTAACATGATCCGAGTGATCGCGGATCAGTGATCCTAATCTAGATCAACCTAAAGGAACGTACTCCTAGGAACGTGCGTCAGAAGCCAGGTGTAGGCATTACTAGTAAACATTTTACAGTTGAATCTTGTGGCGTAGTTGACAGTGCAGCACCATGGATAAGAAAATTCGGTTACTAATCTATGGTTGTTTAGCATTTACACGAGCAAACCGGTCGGTCCACAGTTTAGGCAAATGGTAAGCAAAATTGAGGACTTGAACATTTCGTCCCGCAACCGCTTTTGCCATTTGTACAAATCACTTCCATTTACTGAAAAACGACCTTGAAGCTGGTATCAAGGGTGACTCTTAAGAAATGGAAGACGAATTTCCGTTTGGAATATTCCGTCCCGAAAAACAGGACTACCTTTTCAGGTGTTCCGTTGCTCCTGGAAATTGTCCGCAGGAACTATCCAAAACGTTTTGTTCCATTTGCTTTATCCAACCGGATTTTCTAGAAACTTTTTGTAAATGGTAAACATGCAACCTATGCATCCAAGAAATTTGGTTCCGACAAAATCGTCCGTTCGTACTTCCGCTTGTTCATGTTACCGGGTGTGAAATGCCTCGCATCCATGTTATGATCTATTGACAACTGTCACAATAGGGTATCTGCTGACCAGTGTCACATGACTGTATCGCTTGCTCAGGTGAAAAATTCATTGAGGTGACGTGTTTTAGTTAATTTTTCTGCTGCTCGGTTATGGTACTCAACTGATCGCAGGCTTAGAAAACTTTACTTCAGAAAGACATTTCTTCACAGTTCACACGAGAGCTTCGTTTTTGGCTTTGCTAATCTAAATCTAAATATAAATGTTATGATGTACTCTTACATCTGCTCCATGGTATACGTAGTCAGCATCGTCCACAAGGTGATAATCATACCTCCGATGAGTTGCATTGTTCAACTCACAGCTCCCATTTTTCTCTTTGAAATTAATACTGACGCAGTTAGATTCCCAGAAACAAAGGCGCTCGCAGCTATTTACATCTAGGACCCGCTGAGTTCTTATTGTGTGGTTCTGCAGACGTTTAGCTGTAAACGAGAGGGAAGCTCGAAACGACAGTTGTCGACATTCACCTGAAACAGTCAACATCCGTCCTCTCAAATGAACAAAAAACTGCACAAAAAAATAGATCAAACTTGCTGTGGACAAATATATGTTGCAAAAAGCGGGGACAAAGATGGCAAATACTGTATTGGTATCCTTAATTTTATAGGGTTGTAAGGGGGTAAAAGGGGTAGTTAATCGTGAAACATTTATGTACGTTTGTGTTGTTGTACACTGAAACGAGAGAGTCAGTTTATGGTGAAACTGGTTTACTTTAGAACCAGAAATGACATCAAACAGCGGAGAAGTGTATGAAAATACAAGCGCTAGGCCGTGAAGAGAGGAGAGAGCTTAGCTTAGGGCTCATGTTGCTCTGCTGAATAGATGACAACTTTTATGTGACGAGAAATTGATGAGCGGAATTTTTTCAGCTGCGTTATATCTGATCCAGAGCAGGACAGATTTTGAAAGGTACTTATTTGGAAGCGCTTGGTTTTCAATTGAAAAGTAGCTTACATACCTGCATGTTATTAAATATATGTTTATAATTTAAGTGATTTTAGATTCTTAGTTTTTATTGATGTACATCTCATGTTTTAAACTTTTATCATGTAACTTTTTTAAAAACTTTTACCATTTTTTAAACTTTCAAAATCATGTAAATTGTTATTTTCGTTAATAATTTTAGTCTAAGAGGACCCGCTCCTGTAAACCACTAGTTAAGTGAAGTTGGCATCCTCACTCAAGATTATCAGTAATCATTCATCATTCAATGCTAAGCAATTACAGGGTTTACTTCACGCTATCTGCTACCCTTTTAAAACCTGCTATAAAATGTGTATTTAGTTTTAGGCAAACTTTTTCCTGTCGTCTCTTGCAACGGATGGCAAGGATGGACATTGAAACTTGAAAGTGATAGGATTTTTGAAGTTTTAAACCTATGCATGGAAAAATGACTAAGAAAGTTATTAGACAAGTGATCCCTGCTGTAATGGAGAGGAGAAGTCGTTACGTCACGTTACCATGGTAGCAAAATTTCTGGATGACAACAAACCGGAAAACGTCACGTAAAACTGTTTCAGACCTCATCGATCTCGTTCAGTTTCAATTAATTTGACAAATGTTGGCTAAATTTCCTGGGGTTAAATACGAAAGGACATTATTTAAGCTATAAAAAAAATCGTGTTGTGTTCACCTAGTTTATAAAGCGGGCGCGTGAAATTAGGAACTTTCACGTCGTTTTTTTTATAGTCATGCTACGACGGCTAAAAAATGTACCAAAAAGCGTGATGCAGGTGCAAAGTTGTTGTTTTGCTTTCTAAACTTATTGCTTTTTTTTGCCGTTCTCGTTGCCGTCGCCGTCGTTGTTGTTTAAGCTCCCTATTGTTGTGATCCAAATATTTTGCTACCATGGTAACATGAAGTCACACTTGTTCTCTCTATTTGTTTGATATTTTCTTAACCAGTCTATACAACTGTCTATAGGAGTATTTTGAGCTTGAACAAATTTTAAAAAGCACAAAGTAATGGCTTCAGCATCACAGAATTGATCATGATTTGAAACAGCAATATCCTTGTGACGTACGTAACCCCTTTGGGCAATAAATATATATTTTTTTATCTTAGAAATTCAGAGAGCATTCACGCACAACGTAAGCGTTTCATGTGATAAAAGAGTGTTGAAACCCAATTGTGCAGAAATTGCAACATTTATTAAAGAATAAATTAACAGCTAAGTTAAAGAAGGAATCTGACAGAAAATATTTAAGTTGAAAATAGGTGCATATGAATTTAAAATCTGTTTATATCTATATATTATTTCATAGTTGAGAGTGGTTCAAAAAGGGGCAGACTCAAAAGAAATAAGCCAAAGACACGTGCAGTGGATGAAAATGAAAACCATGCTCGTTCCATACTGTGAAAATTAGAATTTGTTCATATAACCAAGACATGATATAAAGTAATCCAAAAATATTTAAATGGAAGCGTTTAACTTAAAAAAACTAAAATCGCAGCACTTACCTTCCACGTAAGCTAAGTAAAGTTCTAATGACAAGAAAAAAATGGTAACGCTTTGGCCGCGAAGAAAGGAGTTCATATTTCTTACATGTCAACTCATCGCTTTCTGAACCGACCAGCGCACATCACCACTTAAGCAGCCAAAACTGGTGAACGGAAGTTGAAACTCCAATATATAATGAAAACGGCTACCTAATAATGCTTAATAATGCTTCTAAATCCACCTGCTGTAGACACAAGTTAAAAATTAAACAGCTGCATACTGTCATCTACATAGTGTTGTACCGAAGTTCGAATTCAGTTTGAAAATTAAATCAAACATGTGTTGAAACAGTTAGACAATTTGTATACTGAAAAGCCTTTGCAATCCTCCTATATTTTCTAGGCACGATACCGCGGTTTGCAAAGAGGCTGAAACGAGGCGTACTATTTTAACATAACAGGTATTCAAGACGAAAAAATACGTGACCAGGGGCTCCGAATCGACCGAAGACGGTCGGCAAGGTTTTAAAGCTTAATTGAAGTTTGTTAATATTCATTAGAGAAAATTAAATGCCCCACCAGTATTCTTTGAAAATTATTCAGCAGAAAAGAGGTGATCTGGCTTTTCTCCATATCTACATGTTCAGCTTTTTTCTCAGTTAATCCTTCGGCAAATGAAACAAATTTTGCGGTCAATTTTCTACGTGCAGAGAAAGTTTGTTTGACTATTCAGGAGCTAAATGCTTTTGAAAAGGTAAGAACAATATTCTTTTGTGATGGTGTTAGAGTTTCAAAATATGCATGGGGTGCAAATTGATAATGTTTTTTTCAGGACGTTCGATTCAATAAGGGTCCGCACGCGGCAGTCTATAAGAGTCTGAAACATTCACTAATTTTTTAATTTATATGCATGGAGAAAATAATTAAGACACCAAATTTGGCATGATAAAGATGTTCATGATAATAAAATACCGTAAAATTCCGAAAATAAGCCCCTCCATGTATAAGCCCCTCCAAATATAAGCCCCCGGGGGCTTGTACTTAGAAAATTGCCCTCAAATACAAAGTAAAACAAAGCAAAAACAGTAAATTTACTTTCAACTAAAAGGCTAGCTCAATCGATTCTGAAACGCAAATTTCCCTCCATAGATAATCTTCTCCGAATATAAGCCCCTCCAAAAATAAGCCCCTCAAAAAGGGACTTTCAAAAATATAAGCCTCGGGGCTTATTTTAGGAATTTTACGGTATACCAGACTAACGTAGCGATATGGTTAAAGATGGGAAAAGAAGGGCCAACAGTATTATCACTTGTTGCAACTACACAAATAACAGTCTGTGACTTGAGTAACGAAAGTTATTGACCTGTCAACTAATCTGACTAATATTTTTTCTCACGCGGGAGAAAGTTGTTTTTCCAGTTCAGGTTCTAATCTTCAGTTTCACCAAAGAAATTTTCCAAGGTTCTGAAGGCATCAGAGTCGTTTCTGGGTAATATCAATTTAATAAAACTTCTCATAGGAGACTATATTATCATAAATGATTGTCCTATGGCGAGTGGCAAGTTTATGAATTCTGTTAAATAGGGTACTTGATTTTTGCTTAATTCTAAAATTCTACAACTTGTTCATTTTAATCTAGTGAATACATCAGTCAGTGCTTTTGCTCTATTGTAATCTCTTCTCCTTGTAAGCAGAAAAATTTATTCCTTTCCTAGTATTCAGTTTTTTTCTTTAGTATTTACAAAAACAAAACACTTATGTACGGTGGTTCTTGACAACACAGTTCATAAAATTTTTGCAATCAAGTTTCAATAGGTCATTTTCACGATGACGATGTTTGACTTCAACTACTAAAATTCATTTCGTCTTTACTTTCTTGTTTGAATTTGTCAATTCCACTGAGGTTTAAAGAACAAAAGCCTTAATTTGCACAAGAAAACAGCAAACTGAAGGATTCTGGTAGTTGTAGTAAAATGACGTCATCATGCAATTGTCCTATTAGGGCTTAGAAACACCTCTAAAAGGCTATTTCAGGATAATCAAGGAGAGTAAGTTAATTATTAAAGAACTAATTTCTTTCCTGGAAAGGTGTTTGCATTTGCGATATCGAAACTGATAAATAATTTTGGCAACAAGCTTCGTTTGTTCAAGTGACTAGTTCGTTCACACCAGCCTCTACTCTGAAGGTCGCACAATAACCAATTTCGCTGGTCTCATTAGAACCGTCCTAACTTTAATGCCACACGCCCTGATCATGACACCTTTTAACTTATTTTTGGGTGAGCTATTTTCAGCCGAATTTCACGGCTCACTTTCCCGACTGTAAACTGGAATCTCGACTGCATGCTTTGAAATAATCTTAGTACAACTTAGTTCATTTCTAACTAACGATTTGTTTCTTAAATATATGACTTAAGTCAGCAAGTTTTTTTTCCATTTTTGCAAATTCTCCACTGTTTAAAAATTCGTCACCTTTAATAACCGCTCCACAAATAGTAAAATACTTCATGAGTCCAGTTAGTAACTGAAACAGTGACTTATACAGCATACTGATCAACAATAGCAGTCAGCTGGCTACACTAATTAGAGTACACGAAAAAAAGAAAAAAGAAAAAAAGTAAATGACTAACAAACGAAAACACATGAGAATGAAAAGAAAAGCCAAAAATATGAAAGCTGTCAGTTGAACACGATTCCCCTAATGGACTCTTGGAAATTAGCGAGCAGGATCAAGGAAGATTGGTCCATCTTGTCCGCCAAAGTTACCAATCAAAACACAGGATTCGATTAATGAACCAGCCTTCTCGCTTAGGCAGCCATAAAATGATCGACTTAAGTAGGCCCGCCAAGACTTTTTAGGACAATACCTCCCAAGTTTTATTAACTGCTAATTTTAAAGGTCTTTGAGAACTTGTACGCCAGTAACAAAGCCTTGAAATATTTTGTCGCAAATCTCGCACTACAAGTGCATGAGAGGGATGGCCTTTGTCTACAGCATTAACTAAATGCAATACCTGTCTTTGAGAACTTGTACGCCAATAACAAAGCCATAAAATGTTTGTCGCAAATCTCGCACTACAAGTGCATGAGAAACCAATGTCTACAGCATTAACTAATGCATTAACTAATGCATGCATTAACTAATGCATGGCAATAAATTTAAAATTATCAGAAACATTGAACGATCGCTGGTGATGCTCAATAGACCAGTTCCGATATATTAAAATTCAGGCTCAAAAATGAATAATACATTCCTTTTGTTTTATTCCCCCAAACCTGAAAGGCAAGTATGAAGTTTAATATATCGAAAATGGTCTATTGACTGTTTACGCAAGTACTGTAAAAATACGGTCAAATCCTGGGTGCCAGCGGTTTTTTCTCGCGGCGAAGTTAAGATGTTGGCTATAGATGGTTTTCACAGTGACGTCATCAAATTGTAAAGTCAAAATTGCAAAGTTTTACGAATTCTTATTTACACTAGGTTAAAGATAAACAAAAAATAAATCTTTGCACAAGTTTTCATTCCCGTAGCATGTTTCATTTCGAAAATACCGCAATTTGAACTTCCGAATTTTCACAGTGCGTGACAACAAAATAGGAATGCTGTCTCGTTGAAAAAAGTCTCTCCTCTTGATTTTCAGCGGTATAACCATCTCAAGTATTAGAAGATATGTATATACTCTCGTATGCTAGTTTTCGAGTGAAAAGAAAGAGTTTTTATAGAAAAAGTGAACTGCATATGTTTTTGTTGATTTCCGGCGGCCATATTGGTGCACCAAAACTGTACACCATGTGGCGTCTCCTTACAAAGCTCTACTAAGGTGTGTGAAACGTTTTGGCGAATTACTCAGAAACTGTGGGCCACAAAGACCTTAGACTATTATTCTTATTATTGTTATTATTATTATTATTATTATTATTATTATTATTATTATTATTATTACTTATTACTCATTATAACAGCAATTGGCCGCCCATTCTTCAGTGCCTCATTATATATTAAGTAATTTTACTTTCTGTTCAAACAAGGAAATGCTAACAGAAACGTTATTTGATGACTTTAAGATATCTTCTTATGATTTATCCTATTATGTGTTTATGAAAATAACGATTAATAATTATTATAATTGTTTATAATTATTACTATTAAATTATTATTATGTTTGTTTGTTTGTTTGTTCCTTTCTCTAAGGTGCATCTGACCCTCACTTTTTTTTTCCACTTTTAGCGAACAAAGTTCACTAAGATGAATGTCTGGGTGCATTACATTTACTGGTCAATGAGATACCCTCCAAATCCAGACGATCCTATATGCAAAGCAGTGGTCATTGAATAGCAGACCGATGATCCTCGATGTAAGAGAACATGAATTTTCTCGCTTTAATGTACTCATTGATTATAAATTTACTGCTGTATCGCAAGTCAACTGAACCAAGCCAGGAAGAGATTTTATCGTAAGTACTAATAAAACCTCTCTCAAAGCTCTTACAAAATATCCGTTTTTTTTTTCTTTTTTGTGCATATGTGAGTTGCCTGATTAAAAGAGGGTCCAGAGGTCGCTCGAGGTTACACACTCTGTTGTGCCAATAGAAAAAAGTGGGGGGGGGGTATTTAAAAAGTACGAATTACGAAATCACCCTGGTATTGAGTAGATCTAAAAAAGCTTATAAAATAAGGGGGGAGATGAAAAAGTCTCAAAATGTAATATTCGAATACTCTGAAATTCCGTACTCTTTAATCATTCTTTTTTGGGTCGTGTTTGTATCGGTAAAATGGAATTTAATTAAGTATTACAATTTGTACTCAACTTTGTGATGGATGATATATTTTTTTCACTGATTTGGAATCAACTACGTAGTAACTGTTTTATTAACTTGATCACCAAGAGTTTTTACAAGCTCTCTTGATTACGGGTGTTAATTAACAGATCATTATCTACTGATCTTAACATCTGTCCAGTGGATAACACAATTGGTTTCCCTAATACGTATCAACCGGATATAAAGTGAATTATCCGGTGGACCGTACGTACTATTAAACTCTTGAACCGACCGGGAGCCGGAAGACATTCGATTCTGCGTCGTTTATATTGAGGCTCTCTATTCCGACGAAATCAAAGTCGCGACGATCGCTATTGTTTGGAGGACGATCTTTAAGGATAACCCTTTAAGCCCTAAGAGTGATCAGAATGAAATTTCTCCTTGTAAAATTCAATGCTTTGTAAAACAGAGTGGTTTTGAGGATTACGGACATGATCACACACTCCAAGATTAATTTATTTGATATTTTATCTACTTCTCGCCACTACTTCTGTAGGAAATGAATAGGGGTAACAAATGAGAATTCAAATTTTGATCTTAAGGTTTCGCGACGAAAGCGACGTACACAGGTACCCATAGAGGAGCTCTATATTACAGTATAAACATGATTGGCCCAAGGTCCACCTTCGCCATCAGCTCCACAAGCGTTAGATTCCCCATGTTTGTCAAATGTTTGGGGAGCTGAAGCACTAGATGCACACCATCCGCCATTCTGAACACCAAACATACGGTAACCTGCTCTTATTGCAGCTACCGCACACTTGGCAATAGCATTTTTTCGATCACTGTAAAATCTGTCCAAAATAGGATCCCTCCCGTCCAGGGGTGGAATTGCTCGATCCCAGGTATCTCTGTAGCATCCAACGCTATCATATCCTGAAAAATGGAATTTGCGTTGGTACTAGTTAATAACCAAAAAATACGAAAGGAATGCGCAACCGAATTTATGACGCTGGCTGACTACGTCATCCCGCATAATTAGTAGGCCCCGTCCACACGTATTCAGGTTTTATTTATTTCGCTACTTTTCTTTTGACATACCGTATTTATTCGAACAAGCGCCGAACCTCGAATTAGCGCACACCTCAAATAAGCGCCCATCCTAAAGGCGGAAAAAGTCAATAAGTGCCCACCCCCACCCCACCCACTTGGGTTACAATGAGATTGAATAACTACTAACATAAAAAGACGTCCCCGAAGACGGAGTTTTCTTCAGAGTACGGGTGGTTTACAGAAACCTTGCTTTGTTACATCTTCGCGTTTCGTTATTACCATTTATTGTTTTGTTGCAAAAAAAAAGGTATGCTTGTTGAAAATGGTGAAAATTCAATAAGCGCCCAGCCTCGAATAAGCGCTCACCTCGAATAAGCGCCCACTCTCAACGTCCAAAAACTTAATAAGCGCCCAGGGCGGTTAATCGAATGAATACGGTAGGGAAAACTTTTGCCGTTATACAGAAAGAGATCTGGTCCCAGTTGCGGTCAAAAAGGTAGAAAGTGCTAGCCAATGGATAACTCTATCCGAAGGATAGCGCACAATTGGTTCTCGTAATACTCATCCACCGAATAGCAGTTTTTCAGGTGGAAAGCGCTAACCAACTTTTGACGATCAGGTTCTGCAGTATGTGTGAGATCTTGGAGTTCCAACTATCATCCTGCGTTTTCAATTGTTCAGTGCGACTCTGGTTGTGTCGCGAAATTCTCTCCTACTGCTTCATTCCATACTATGATTGTTGCAGTTTGCAAATCCTAACGTGCTACTTTAGTTTGGGGGATATACCGCTGGGGCCGTGGAACCCTTATAGTCTACAGCACATCAAGAGATCCTCTCTTGACCTTTGGTCAGATCTAGTTTAGCTCACTTTTGTTACCCTATACCTGACTATTAACACTATTAAAATCCCCTCCCATCCTTGAGTCGCTATTTCCAAACAATACCGAAGTCGACGCTTTTGCTATTAAACTGAGTTGTCAGTAAATTTGAATTTTCAGATTTCATGTTTTAGGTGTCAATTCGCAGTTTCCCAAGTCCAGACTAAAATCATCAACCATTTGTTTATTTTCCTGGAAAATGGTACCCCGTTCTAGACCAAAACGCCCGGAATTATATGACCTATCCAAGACTAAACTGCTTGGAACCACAACCCTCAGAGTGGTACATTAAACATCATTATTGAATGAGGCTGACGTTGATGTGAATAATTATGCAGGTCGAGAAGAATGTTTTTGGCCGAGGTGGATAACAGCCTGCGAGATCAGCATAATTTTTCACATCATATGAAAGCCTAATTCAATAATTGTTTTATTATTCATTCAAAATATTTCTTGGTTCTAGTAAAGTAAGCGTAAATCCTCGTATACTTTGTTGAAGACTTAGTCTTTGGTTTTTTGGAAAGCCGAGAACGCCGTTTATTAATTTACTGTCACTTAGCAGCCTCGATTTCAGGCAAATATACCATCGAACAACCTAAATATACCATCGCATCGATGATACATTGCTCGCATCTTCCAAATATGGTAAGCGCCAGTTGCTTATGAAAAAATGGCCGGAAGATTGGAGCCAATCAGAGACGGCGAAATATTTTGGATGAACAATAAACCTATATAGCCCATATATGGTAATGCTCCTCCCCGGAGCAGTATTTTTTTTTTTCTATGACCATTATATCGTACCTTTGATGTAATAAACTTGATTGGCCATCCGTCCTCCTTCCCCATCAGACTGACAATCATTTGATTCTCCATATTTGACAAACGTTTGCGGTGCAGTGGCACTAGAGAAACACTGACCACCATCCTGAATTGCAAAAATAATGAAACCCGCTTTGATGGCAGCCGACGCGCATTTGGAAATGGCGTTTTCTCGTTCCGTGAATGGTCCATCTAAAATTGGGTACTGTCCTTCTAGACTTGAGATTGTGCGATTTGCGGTGTCCTTAAAACATCCAACGGTTTCGTAAGCTGGAGGAAATGAGCAACAGATTATGTTCATCTTATTTCATTTAAAAAATATGACGAAATGTATGCTAGCTTATATTCTTTAAATGCAGCAAAATCAAACACACGATTAACAGTAATTTTATAAATTCTAGGTGGCGTCTCTGAAACTCGTTAACAACGCATGGAGGAGAAAGAAAGAAATGGAATATTGATCGTCATAGCATTTTTCGAACTTCGAAGAATGAATTTCTCTAAAACTTGAATAGAGCTGATTATTTGAGGAACTATATCAAAACGCGCCTGATATAAATGACGTGTTTCAACCTATATTCCAAAACATCGAAATCGACAAGGAAAATGGGTCGCAACCCGTTTAAAAACTACTTTGTGTCTTGATATCCCACTCGTGTTTTGTATATTTCCACTGGGGGCCGGATATTGGATGAAACACTCCCACTGGTGATTCGTGTTTCACTTTTCATGTCCTGATATCAGACGCAACGCTCCTTCATCTGTTTGATATATCACCTCTGAGAGTCTGCATATCACACGAGATTCTACCAACCCCACATCCGTTTTTGAACACACGCAGTCAGTGCTGGGATGTCAGATTTGACACTTCCTCTCCTGCGTGTTTGTTAAATCTCGGTGATCGTTAAATCTCAGACGAAACACACCCACACGTCTTCTATAGATAATCTCTCAATGAGCGTCTCGATGTCAGACAAAACACTTTCAGACATGTTTGAAATATTTGCAGATAGTCAGTTTTGTTTTCTTTTTAAAAGTTTTGCAAATCCTTTCAACCCATCTAGAATATCCCCACATTGATTTTTCCCTCCCCTTATTTTTCATCTTGATCTAATATGTATGATTCAATCAGTCTAGTTATTCCTCAATAGACGCACGTATAGTTAAGAATTGTTTATAGTAGAACTACACTTTTGTTAAATAGGTTATAGGTTATTCGCTTTACCTTTGCAAGCCTTGCCATCACCAGCAAACCCCTCCTTACATGAACATAGATAAGATCCTTCACTATTCCGACAGATGGCATTTATATCACAGATGGAGGAAAAGGCACTGCATTCGTCGACATCTGGGCAAATTGAAATATTTGAGATAAGGAAAAACTCTTTATAATAATAAACGACACAGGACTAAATTTGAAAGAAGTTGCTCGCTTAAAGCTACCAAGCAAACAACAGCCAGGCGATCCCACTGAATTGTCTCTAAACAACGCCTAATGCATAGTCATGTGTCTGTGAATCACAATATTTCTGAACCAAGAACAAATAATCATTGTTTCATTTGTTTTGTCATGAAAAAAGTACTTTGTCAACTGTACTCTTGTAACAGAAAAGTGCGCTTGTGTAGTTAAGATCTGTGTGTGAGGTTAGGGAAAAAGGAGTATTTATTCAATTTATTAGTATTATTATTTCCACTTTAACTCGGTTGCCAAGTAAACTAGGAACGTCATGTGCGCTCTTTTTGTTCTTTCTATGAAGCAATTTTCCGCCCTCTTAACTGTCCCTGGGTGCGCTTTCGTTCGTCCTGACGACCTCACAAAGTTGTTAGCAAGGGTTCATAAAGAGTACTCCCTAGCTTTATTTTACTTTTTTTGCCTAACACAAACAAATGAAATCACAGCTGGCTCTTAAAATACTTCTTAATCAGCAGCATTCTTCAGGTAAAGGTGTTAGAAGGAATGGTAGAAACACAAAATCGTTTTCAATTCTTTTATTCTTACCCTGTCCACAATCTTCGCCAGTAAAACCCGGCGCACATACGCAACGATACCGTTGGTCTGTAAATCCCGACTGGCAGGTAGAATTGTTATGGCATGGATTGACGTCACAAGCACTCTTTCAAGAAACAAATGAACGGTGAATGAGATGAAAAGGTATTAAATGATGTAGCAAATTTAAGTAATCAAAGCGAAACTTGTCTGGGTAAGACATGCGAAAATTTCCTCCATAGTCAAAGGACCGTCGGCAGATATGGCAAATTAGACAAGGTGACGACAGTGACGTAGGCTCGCGCAGATCTAAAAACCCAAATGACCCATGGCAGAGAGGCTAATTAAAGCTCTGCAATTCGCTTTCACCTTTCCGCGCTCTATCATGTTCACATTTGCCGTTGTGCTGACTAAATCTTCCGAGTAGACGTGCTGTTGTCTATTTCTGCATCCGATCTGCACACAGGAAAGAAAGTGTGGGTATCCGCAGGAACTACCCAAAACGTTTTGTTCCATTTACTTTATCCAACCGGATTTTCTAGAAACTCTTTGTAAATGGTAAACATGCAACCTATGCATCCAAGAAATTTGGTTCCGACAAAATCGTCCGTTCGTACTTCCGCTTGTTCATGTTAGCGGATGTCAAATGCCTTACTTGCTCGCATCCATGTTATGATCTATTGACAGCTGTCACAATAGGGTATCTGCTGACCAGTGTCACATGACTTTATCGCGGGTTCAGGTGAAAAATTCATTGAGGTGACGTGTTTTATTTAATTTTTCCGCTGCCCAGTTACGGTATTCAACTGATCGCAGGCTTTAGAAAGACATTTCCTCAAAAATCCCACGAGAGCTTCGCTTTTGGCTTGGCTAAATCTAAATCTAAATATAAATGTTATGATGTACTCTTACTTCTGCTCCATGATATACGTAGTCGGCATCGTCTTCCAGGTGATAACCATACCCTCGATGAGTTGCATTGTTCAACTCACAGCTCCTTGTTTTCTCTTTGAAATTAATACTGACGCAGTTAGATTCCCAGAAACAAAGGAGCTCGCAGCTATCTACATCTGCGACCTGTTGAGTTCTTATTGCGTGGTTCTGCAGACGTTTAGCTGTAAAGGAGAAGGAATCTGGAAACGACAGTTCTCGACATTCACCTGAAACAGTCAACATCCGTCCTCTCACATGAACAAAACACTGCACAAAAAAATAGATCAAATTTGCTGTACGTGGACAAATATATGTTGCATTGGATTCCTTATTTTTATAGGGTTGTAAATCGGGGGTAAAAGGAGTAGTTAATCGGGAAGCATTTATGTACGTTTGTGTTGTTGTACACTGACACGAGAGAGTCAGTTTATTTTGAAACTGGTTTACTTTGGCACTAGAAATGACATCAAACAGCGGAGAAATGCATGAAAATACAAGCGCTAGGCCGTGGAGGGAGGAGAGAGTTTAGCTTAAGGCTCATGTTGCTCTGCTGAATAGATGACAACTTTTATGTGACGAGAAATTGATGAGTGGAATTTTTTCAGCAGCGATATATCTGATCCAGAGCCGAACAGGTTTTGAAAGGTACTTATTTGGAAGCGCTTGGTTTTTAATTGAAAACTAGCTTACATACTTGTATGTTATTAAATATATGTTTAAAATTTAAGTGATTTTAGATTCTTAATTTTTATTGATGTACATCTCCTGTTTTAAACTTTTATCATGCAACTTTTTTTAAAACTTTCTCAATTTTTTCAACTTTCAATATCATGTAAGTTGTTTTTTTTGTTAATTATTTTAGTCTAAGAGGACCCCTGTAAATCACTAGTTAAGTGAAGTTGGCATCCTCAATAAAGATTGTCAGTCATCATTCATCATTCAATACTAATCAAATACAGGGTTTACTTCACGCTATCTGCTGCCGTTTTAAAATCTGTTATGACACGTGTATTTAGTTTTAGGCAAACTTTTTCCTGTCGTCTCTTGCAACGGAATGCAAGGATGGACATTGAAACTTGAAAGTGATGGGAGTTTTGAAGTTTTAAACCTATGCATGGAAAAATGACTAAAAAAGTTATTAGACAAGTGATCTCTGCTGTAATAGAGAAGAGAAGTCGTTACCTCACGTTGCCATGGTAGCAAAATTTCTGGATGACAACAAACCGGAAAACGTCACTTAAAACTGTTTCAGACTTCATCGATCTCGTTCAGTTTCAATTAATTTGTCAAATGTCGGCTAAATTTTCTGGGGTTAAAGCCGAAAGGACCGTATTTAAGCTAGAAAATGAAATCGTGTTGTGTTCACCTAGTTTATAAAGCGGACGCGTGAAATTAGGAAGTTTCACGTCGTTTTTTTATAGCCCTGCTACGACGGCTAAGAAATGTACAAAAAAGCGTGATGCACGTGCAAAGTTGTTGTTTTGTTATCTAAACTTATTGCTTTTTTTGCCGTTTTCGTTGCCGTCGCCGTCGCCGTTACTTAAGGTCCCTATTGTTGTGATCCAAATATTTTGCTACCATGGTAACATGACGTCACACTTCTTTCTATTTGTTTGATATTTTCTTAACCAGTATATAGGAGTATTTTGTGCTTGAACAAATTTTAAAAAGCACTAATTAATGGCTTCAGCATCACAGAAGTGATCATGACCTGAAACAGCAATATCCTTGGGACGTACGTAACCCCTTTGGGTGATTATTATTATTATTATTTTTTATTTATTTATTTCAGAAATTCAAAGAGCATTCATGCAGAAGGTAAGGGTTTCATGTGATAAAAGAGTGTTGAAACCTAATTGTGCAGAAATTGCAACATTTCTTAAAGAATAAATTAACAGCTAAGTTAAAGAAGGAATCTTTCAGAAAATCAGATTTAAGTTGAAAGTAGGTGCATATAAATTTCAAATCTATTTATATCTATATGTTATTTTATAGCTGAAAATGGTTCAAAAAGGGGCAGACTCAAAAGAAATTAGCCAGACACGTGCAGTGGATGAAAATGAAAACCATGCTCCTTCCCTATTATGAAAACTAGAATTTGTTTATTTAACCAAGACATGATATAAAGTTCCAAAGATATTTAAATGGAAGCGTTTAACTTAAAAGAACTAAAATCGCAGCACTTACCTTCCACGTAAGCTAAGTAAAGTTTTATTGACAAGAACAAAATGGTAACGTTTTGACCACGAAGAAAGGAGTCCATATTTTTGTATCTCAACTCATCGCTATCTGAACCCGTCAGCGCACATCAACACTTTAGCAGCCAGAACTGGTGAACGGAAGTTGAAACTCCAATAGATAATAAAAACGCCTTACATGGAGGATTCTTAATAATGCTTCTAAATCCACCTGCTGTAGACACAATTTAAAAATTAAACAGCTGCATACTGTAATCTACATAGTGTTGTCCCGAAGTCGAATTCAGTTTGAAAATTAAATCAAACATGTCGTGTTATAACAGTTAGACAATTTGTATACTGAAAAGCATTTCAACCGTTCTCTGCAATCCTCCTATAGTTTCTAGGCGCGATACCGCGGTTTTCTGACGATCTTTTACGGTGTAAAAGACGCTATGGGAGGTCCAGGTAATATCACTCCGCGACAAATGCAGCATGTTTGTTAAACCAGGGTTTTAAAAAATGAAACATCTTAAAATATTATTAATAGACTGATTTTAAAATCAGATTTGCAAAGAGGCTGAAACAAGGCGTACTATTTTAACATAACAGGCATTCAAGACGAAAAAATGCGTGACCAAGAGCTACCGACAGAAGACGGTCGGCAAGGTTTTTAACACTTAATTGAAGTTTATTAATATTCGTTAGAGAAAACGCCCCACCTGTATTCTTTGAAAATTACTCAGCAGAAAAGAGATGATCTGGCTTTTCGCCATATCTACATTTTCAGCTTATTTTCTCAGTTAATAGGCCGATCCTTTGAAAAATGAATCGGGATTTTGCGGTCATGATTTTCTACTTGCAGAGAAAAGGTTGTTTGACTACTCAGGAGCTAAATGCTTTTGAAAAGGTAAGAGCAATATTCTTTTGTGGTGGTGTTATCTTGGTCGTTGGCAGAGTTTCAAAATATTCATGGGGTGCAGATTGATAATGTTCTTTACAGGAAGTTCGAGTCAATAACGGTCCGCAGTTGATAAAAGTCAAACATTGACTCATGTTTTATTCATGCATGGAGAAAAAGAATTAAGACAACAAATTTGGCATGATAAAGATTTTCATGATAATAAAATATACCAGACTGACGTAGCGATATAGGTAAAGATGGCGGGGAACAAGGGCCAAAAAATATTATCACTTGTTGCAACTACACAAATAACAGTGAGTGACTTGACTAACGAACGTCAATGATTGACCTGTCAACTGCAATGTGTATAATCTAAACCTGACTTTTTCCTCACGCGCGACATAGGTGTTTTTCCGGTTCAGGTTCTAATTTTCAGCTTGCACCAAAGACATTTTCCAAAGCTGTGAAGGCATCAGAGTCGTTTGTTTTTTATTATTAATTTTTGTCCTCAGTTTTCCTATAAGATGGGTAATAACAATTTCATAAAACTTCCCATAGGAGATTATATTATCATAACCGATTGTTCTATGGCGGGTGGCAAGTTTATGAACTGTTAAATAGGGTAGTTGATTTTTGCTTAATTCTAAAATTCTACAACTTGTTTATTTCAATCTAGTGAATACATCCGTCAGTCCTTTAATTTGCTCTATTGTAATCTCTTCTCCTTGTAAGCATAAGAATATCTGCATTTCCTAGCATTCAGTTTTTTTTTCTTTAATATATAGTTACAAACAAATTAAAAACACTTATGTACGTTGGTTCTTGACAACACACTTCATTTAACTTTTCAGTGCAGTCAAGTTTCAATTAGGGCTTAGAAACACCTCTAAAAGGCTATTTCAGGATAATGAAGGAGAGTAAGTTTATTATTAGAGAACTAATTTCTTTCCTGGAAAGGTGTTTGCATTTGCGATATCGAAACTGATAAATAATTTTTGGCAACGAGCTTCGTCTGTTCGAGTGACAAGTCACTTCACACCAGCCTCTACTCTGAAGGTCACATAATAACCAATTTCGCTGGTCTCATTAAAACCGTCCTAACTTTAATGCCACACGCTCTGATCATGACACCTTTTAAGTGCTTTATTTTTGGGTTGAGCTATTTTCAGCCGAATTTCACTCACTTGGAGTTCTAGCAGGCCCATGGCCACAACTGAACGTTTCTCAAATTTTGTTAGTTTTAAATATTAATCTTGTCAATAAATGTAGCCTATTAGTATATATATCACAGCTTGTAAGGTATCCTACAATTAGGTCTATGTTATTTATTCGGAAAAACTTATAAACAGCCCACAGTAGCTCCACTCAAGTCACTGAAATCAACACATTCGACCAAATTACTGCACTTATTGAGACGGACCATACGATATCACTAGCCTTAAATAAATAGAGGTTTCGCTGTAAGCAATCCTTACGTTTAAAACATGCCATGATCAAATTAAAGCCTGGTTTCCATATGATCGCTACTTACCATCGCTGTGATCGCTGTGATCGCTGAGAAAAGAAAAAAAACCTTCAGCGATCGCAGCGATCATAGTGCTCATATGAAACCACTCTCCTGCAGCGATCGCAGCGAAAACAATCGCTGAGATATAAAAAGTTCTATCTCAGCGATCGTTGTCACAGCGATCGATGGAGAGTGGTTTCCATGTGATCGCTGAACTTTTTTTCTCAGTGATCGCAGCAATCACAATGATCGTAGCGATCATATGGAAATCGGGCTTAATCTATCGCAATAACCATCCACCCTTCCTCCTCAACTGCTACCTGTACGCCTTACTAACATATCGAACGCACTCTTCTAAGCTCCGACTACTCCTAGTTTAATATTTTTTCAACTTTTTTCCCTACTTGTTATCATTATCTTATCATTGACATTCTTCGTCTTAATTTCTTCTTCTTATTATTATTATTATTATTATCATTATTATTATTATTTCCAAGAGAGGATAAAAGGGATAGAGAAGGCATCCCCCATACACACCCTATTCCATAGGTAATTCGTCTCGAGTTATTTTTAAGACTATAGATCCCAAGGGGGATTAGACAACAGCCAATCACACAACGCGAATGTGTTCCGCGTGGATGACCCACGCTCAGAGCCACGTGTCCTTGAAGAAATGACGCAGAAAAAATGGCGGAAGACGCGGAGAGCGATATTGCTATTTGTTTTGTCGGCGAAAACGACTAAAGAGAGATTTCTGCTAAAGCTGTGTTAGCGAAACGGAAATTAAAAAATAATCGCCCTTCTTCTCTTGTATAGAGCTAACAGTACAGCAGGGAAATCCTTAATTAACAAGTGAATATTTTCTCAGGGTCATTTATAATTTACAGTTTGAAGAGAGCAATTTCTGGTTTGATATTTCTTCTTTTATTAGTCTTTTATTATTCAACCAAAATAACACTTGGCGTCCTACTGGCTTGCGGTTTCAATAGACCGGCGAAATTTCTCATCTTATTAAAGCACTGAGATTACGACAACTTCGAGTTAAACTGATTTCACGGGTTGTCAGAGAGTCCAGAGATTCCCTTATCCCAGGTGAGCGCCGACTCATTTCGCTTCAATATTCAGAAATGCTGTCGATCTCTTTACGCTTTCATTGCCTTTCGCCCGACATGTTTTGCACGGCGTTTAGTCATGCGAAACCTGCACGAAACATCCACGCAGCGCGCGGTAAACTTTATCCCGATTCTAAAAATAACTCGAGACGAATTACCTGTGGAATAGGGTGTGTATGGGGGATGCCTTCTCTGTCCCCTTTATCCTCTCTTGTTATTACTTATTACTTATTATAACAGCAATTGACCGCCCATTCTTGAGTGCCTCATTATATGTTAAGTAATTTTACTTGCTGTTCAAACAAGGAAATGCTAACAGAAACGTTATTTGATGACTTTTACGCATGCTCTTATGATTTATCCCATTATGCGTTAATGAAAATAACAATTAATAATTATCATAGTTATTTATAATTAATACTATTAAATTATTATTATTGTTCGTTTGTTTGTTCCTTGCTCTAAGGTGCATGTGACTCTCACTTTTTTATTTCACTTTTAGCGAACAAAGTTCACTAAGATGAATGTCTGGGTGCATTACATTTACTGGTCAAAGAAATACCCCCAAAATCCAGACGATCCTATATGCAAAGCAGTGGTCGTTGAATAGCATACCGATGATCCTCGATATAAAAGAACATGAATTTTCTCGCTTAACTGTACTCCTTGATTATAAATTTACCGCTGTATCGCAAGTTAACTGAACGAAGCCAGGAAGAGATTTAATTGTAAGTACTAATAAAACCTCTCTGCAAGCTCATACAAAAAAATATCCGTTTTTTTTTTTTTTGTCTTATGCATATTTGAGTAGCCTGATTTAAAGAGGGTCCAGAGGTCGCTCGCGGTTACACACTCTGTTGTGCCAATAGAAAAAAAGGGGGGGCGGTATTTAAAAAGTACGAATTACAAAGCTCATACAAAAATATCTCTTTTTTTTTTCTTGTCTTTTGCATATGTGAGTAGCCTGATTATAAGAGGGTCCAGAGGTCGCTCGCGGTTACACACTCTGTTGTGCCAATAAAAAAGGGGGTATTTCAAAAGCACGAATTACGAAATCACCCCGGTATTGACTAGATCTAAAAAAGCTTATAAAATAAGGGGGGAGAGGAAAAGTGTCAAAATATAATATTCGAATACTCTGAATTTGAAATTCCTTACTCTTTAATCATTCTTTTTTTTTCGTGTTTGTATCGGTAAAATGGAATTTAATTAAGTATTACAATTTGTACTCAACTTTGTGATGGGTGATATATTTTTTTTTACTGATTTGGAATCAACTACGTAGTAACTGTTTTATTAACTTGATCACCAGGAGTTTTTACAAGCTCTCTTGATTACGGGTATTAATTAACAGATCATTATCTACTGATCTTAACCTCTGTCCAGTGGATAACACAATTGGTTTCCCTAATACGTATCAACCGGATATAAAGTGAATTATCCGGTGGACCGTACGTACTATTAAACTTTTGAACCGACCGGGAGCCGGAAGACATTCGATTCTGCGTCTTTTATATTGAGGCTCTCTATTCCGACGAAATCAAGTCGCGACGATCGCTATTGGTTGGAGGACGATCTTAAAGGATAACCCTTTAAGCCCTAAGAGTGATCAGCATGACATTTCTCCTTGTAAAACTCAATGCTTTGTAAAACAGAGTGGTTATGAGGATTACGGACATGATCACACTCTCCAAGATAAATTTATTTGATATCTTATCTACTTCTCGCCACTACTTCTGTAGGAAATGAATAGGGGTAACAAATGAGAATTTAAATTTTGATCTTAGGGGTTCGCGACGAAAGCGACGCACACAGGTACCAATAGAGGTGCTCTATATTACAGTATAAACATGATTGGCCCAAGTTCCACCTTCGCCATCAGCTCCACAAGCGTTAGATTCCCCATATTTGTCAAATGTTTGTGCAGCTGAAGCACTGGATGTACACCATCCGCCATGCTGAACACCAAACATACTGTAACCTGCTCTTATTGCAGCTACCGCACACTTGGCAATAGCATTTGTTCGAACTCGGTAATCTCCGTCCAAAATAGGATCCATCCCTTCCAGGGGTGTAATTGCTCGATCGCCTGTATCTTTGTAGCATCCAACGCTATTATATCCTGAAAAATGGAATATGCGTTGGTACTAATTAAAAACAAAAAAATACGAAAGGAATGCGCAACCGAATTCATGACGCTGGCTGACTATGTCATCCCGCGTAATTAGGCCCCGTCCACATGTGTCCACGTTTTATTTATTTCGCCACTTTTCTTTTGACACACCGTATTTATTCGAATAAGCGCCCAACCTCGAATTAGCGCACACCTCAAAGAAGCACCCATCCTAAAGGCGGAAAAAGTTAATAAGCGCCCACCCCAACCCCACCCACTTGGGTTACACTGAGATTGAATAAGTACTAACATAAAGAGACTTCCCCGAAGACGGAGCTTTCTTCAGAGTAGGGGTAGTTTACAGAAACCTTGCTTTGTTACATCTTCGTGTTTCGTTATTACCATTTATTGTTTTGTTGCAAAAAAACATACTATACTTGTTGAAAATGGTTAAAATGCAATAAGGGCCCAGCCTCGAATAAGCGCTCACCTCCAATAAGCGCCCACTCTCAATGTCCAAAAATTTAATAAGCGCCCAGGGCGGTTAATCGAATAAATACGGTAAGCAAAACTTTTGCCGTTATACAGAAAGAGATCTGGTCCCAGTTGCGGTCAAAAAGGTAGAAAGTGCTATCCAATGGATAAGTTACTATCCAAACGATAGCGCACAATTGGTTCTCGTGATACTCATGAACCGAATAGCAATTTTTCAGGTGGAAAGCGCTATCCAACTTTTGACAATCAGGTTCTGCAGTATGTTTGAGATCTTGTAGTCCCAACTACTATCCCGCGATTTCAATTGTTCAGTGCGACTCTGGTTGTGTCGCGAAATTCTCTCCCTCTGCTTCATTCCATACGATGATTGTTGCAGTCTGCAAATCCTAACGTGCTACTTTAGTATGGGCGATATACCGCTGAGACCATGGAACCTTTATAGTCTACGGCAGATCAAGAGATCCTCTCTAGACTTTTGATCAGATCTAGTTTAGCTGACTTTTGTTACCCTATACCTGACTCAGATTAAAACTATTAAAATCCCCTCCCATCATTGAGTCGCTATTTCCAGACAATACTTGCTATTAAACTGAGTTGTCAGTAAATTTGAATTTTCAGATTTCATGTTTTAGGTGTCAATTCGCAGTTTCCCGAGTCCAGACTAAAATCATCACCCATTTGTTCAGTTTCTTGGAAAATGATACCCCGTTCTAGACCAAAACGCCCGGAATTCTATGACCTATCCAAGACTAAACTGCTTGGAACCACAACCCTCAGAGTGGTACATTAAACGTCATTATTGAATGAGGCTGAGGTTGATGTGAACAATTATGCAGGTCGAGAAGAATGTTTTTGGCCGAGGTGGATAATAGCCTGCGAGATCAGCGTAATTCTTCACATCATACGAAAGCCCAATTCAATAATTGTTTTATTATTGATTTAAAATATTTCTTGGTTCTAGTAAAGTGAGCATAAATCCTCGTACACTTTGTTGAAAACTTAGTCTTAAGTTTTTTGGAAAGCCGAGAACGCCTTTTATTAATTTACTGTCACTTAAGCAGCCTCGATTTCAGGCAAATATAACATCGAACAACCTAAATATACCATCGCATCGATGATACATTGCTCGCATCTTCCAAATATGGCAAAAGCTAGTTGCTTATGAAAAAATGGCCGGAAGATTGGAGCCAATCAGAGACGGCGAAATATTTTGGATGAACAATAAACCTATATAGCCCATATATGGCAATGCTCCTCCCAGGAGCAGTATTTTTTTTTTTGCTATGACCATTATATCGTACCTTTGATGTAATAAACTTGATTGGCCATCCCTCCTCCTTCCCCATCAGACTGACAATCATTTGATTCTCCATATTTGTCAAACGTTTGCGATGCAGTGGCACTAGAGAAACACTGACCTCCATCCTGAATTGCAAAAATAATGAAACCCGCTTTGATGGCAGCCGACGCGCATTTGGAAATGGCGTTTTCTCGTTCCGTGAATGGTCCATCTAAAATTGGGTCCTGTCCTTCTAGACTTGAGATTGTTCGATTTGTGGTGTCCTTATAACATCCAACGGTTTCGTAAGCTGGAGGAAATGAGCAACAGATTATGTTCATCTTATTACATTTAAAAGATATGACGAAATGTATGCTAGCTTTTATTCTTTAAATGCAGCAAAATCAAACACACGAGTAACGCAGTAATTTTATAAACTCTAGGTGGCGTCTCTGAAACTCGTTAACCACACATCGAGGAGAAAGAAAGAAATGGAATATTGATCGTCATAGCATTTTTCGAACTTCGAAGAATGAATTTCTCTAAAACTTGAATAGAGCTGATTATTTGAGGAACTATATCAACACGCGCCTGCTATAAATGACGTGTTTTAACGAATATTCCGAAACATCGAAATCGACGAGGAAAATGGGTCGCAACTCGTTTTAAAAACTTCTTTGTGCCTTGATATCCCACTCGTGTTTTGTATATTTCCACTGGTGGCCGGATATTGGATGAAACACTCCCACTGGTGATTCGTGTTTCACTTTTCATGTCCCGATATCAGACGCAACGATCCTTCATCTGTTTGATATATCACCTCTGAGAGTCTGCATATCACACGAGATTCTATCAACCCCACATCCGTTTTTTAACACACGCAGTCAGTGCTGGGATGTCAGATTTAACACTTCCTCTCCTACGTGTTTGTTAAATCTCGCTGATCGTTAAATCTCAGACGAAACACTGCCACTCGTCTTCTATAGATAACCTGTCAATGAGCGTCTCGATGTCAGACAAAACACTTTCAGACATGTTTGAAATATTTGCAGATAGTCAGTTTTGTTTTCTTTTTAAAAGTTTTGCAAATCCTTTCAACCCATCTACAATATCCCTACATTGATTCTTCCCTCTCCTTATTTTTCATCTTGATCTAATATGTATGATTCAATCAGTCTAGTATACTTAAGAATTGTTTATAGTAGAACTACATTTTTGTTAAATAGGTTATAGGTTATTCGCTTTACCTTTGCAAGCCTTGCCATCACCAGCAAACCCCTCCTTACATGAACACAGGTAAGATCCTTCACTATTCCGACAGATGGCATGTATATCACAGATGGAGGAAAAGACACTGCATTCGTCGATATCTGGGCAAATTGAAATATTTGAGAAAAGGAAACACTCTGTATAATAATAAACCACACAGGACTAAATTTGAAAGAAGTTGCTCGCTTAAAGCTACCAAGCAAACAACAGCCAGACGATCCCACTGAATTGTCTCAAAACAACGCCTAAAGCATAGTCATGAGTCTGTGAATCACAATATTTCTGAACCAAGAACAAATAATCATTGTTTCATTTGTTTTGTCATGAAAAAAGTACTTTGTCAACTGTACTCTTGTAACAGAAAAGCGCGCTTGTGTAGTTAAAATCTGTGTGTGAGGTGAGGGGAAAAGGAGTATTTATTAAAGTTCCACTTTACCTCGGTTGCCAAGTAAACTAGGAAGGTCATGCGCGCTCTTTTTGTTCTTTCTATAAAGCAATTTTCTGCCCTCTTAACTGTCCCTGGGTGCGCTTTCGTTCGTCCTGACGACCTCACAAAGTTGTTAGCAAGGGTTCATACAGAGTACTCCCTAGCTTTATTTTACTTTTTTTGCTTAACAAAAACAAATGAAATCAAAGCTGGCTCTTAAAACAATTCATAATCAGCAGCATCCTTCAGGTAAAGGTGTTAGAAGGAATGGTAGAAACACAAAATCGTCTTCAATTCTTTTATTCTTACCTTGTCCACAATCTTCGCCGGTAAAACCCGGCGCACATATGCAACGATACCGTTGGTCTGTAAATCCCGACTGGCAGGTAGACTCGTTATGGCATGGATTGACGTCACAAGCACTCTTTCAAGAAACAAATGAACGGTGAATGAGATGAAAAGATATTAAATGATGTAGCAAATCTAAGTAATCAAAGCGAAACTTGTCTGGATAAGGCGTGTGAAAATGTCCTCCACAATCAAAGGACCGTCGGCAGATATGGCAAATTAGACAATGTGACGACAGTGACGTAGGTTCGCGCAGATCTAAAAACCCAAATGACCCATGGCAAAGAGGCTAATTAAAGCTCTGCAATTCGCTTTCACCTTTCCGCGCTCTATCATGTTGGCATTTGCCGTTGTGTTGACTAAATCTGCCGAGTAGACGTGCTTTTGTCTATTTCTGCATCCGATATGAATACAGGAAAGAAAGTGTGGGTATCCGCAGGAACTACCCAAAACGTTTTGTTCCATTTACTTTACCCAACCGGATTTTCTAGAAACTTTTTGTAAAATGGTAAACATGCAACCTATGCATCCAAGAAATTTGGTTCCGACAAAATCGTCCGTTCGTACTTCCGCTTGTTCATGTTAGCGGATGTGAAATGTCTTACTTGCTCGGAACCATGTTATGATCTATTGACAGCTGTCACAATAGGGTATCTGCTGACCAGTGTCAGATGACTGTATCGCGGGCTCGGGTGAAAAATTCATTGAGGTGACGTGTTTTATTTAATTTTTCCGCTGCCCAGTTATGGTATTCAAATGATCGCAGGCTTAGAAAACTTTACTTCAGAAAGACATTTCTTCAAAGTTCCCACTTGAGCTTCGCTTTTGGCTTGGCTAAATCTAAGTCTAAATATAAATGTTATGATGTACTCTTACTTCTGCTCCATGGTATACGTAGTCGGCATCGTCCTCCAGGTGATAACCATACCCTCGATGAGTTGCATTGTTCAACTCACAGCTCCTTGTTTTCTTTTTGAAATTAACACTGACGCAGTTAGATTCCCAGAAACAAAGGAGCTCGCAGCTATCTACATCTGCGACCTGTTGAGTTCTTATTGCGTGGTTCTGCAGACGTTTAGCTGTAAAGGAGAAGGAATCTGGAAACGACAGTTCTCGACATTCACCTGAAACAGTCAACATCCGTCCTCTGACATAAACAAAACACTGTACAAAAAAATAGATCAAATTTGCTGTACGTGGACAAATATATGTTGCATTGGATTCCTTATTTTTATAGGGTTGTAAATCGGGGGTAAAAGGGGTAGTTAATCGTGACACATTTACTGTACGTTTGTGTTGTTGTACACTGAAACGAGAGAGTCAGTTTATTTTGAAACTGGTTTACTTTGGCACTAGAAATGACATCAAACAGAGGAGAAATGCATGAAAATACAAGCGCTACGCCGTGGAGGGAGGAGAGAGTTTAGCTTAAGGCTCATGTTGCTCTGCTGAATAGATGACAACTTTTATGTGACGAGAAATTGATGAGTGGAATTTTTTCAGCAGCGTTATATCTGATCCAGAGCCGAACAGATTTTGAAAGGTACTTATTTGGAAGCGCTTGGTTTTTAATTGAAAACTAGCTTACATACTTGTATGTTATTAAATATATGTTTAAAATTTAAGTGATTTTAGATTCTTAGTTTTTATTGATGTTCATCTCATGTTTTAAACTTTTATCATGTAACTTTTTTTAAAAGTTTCACAATTTTTTAAACTTTCAATATCATGTAAATTGTTTTTTTCTTTAATTATTTTAGTCTAAGAGGACCCGCTCCTATAAATCACTAGTTAAGTGAAGTTGGCATCCTCAATATAGATTATCAGTCATCATTCATCATTCAATACTAATCAAATACAGGGTTTACTTCACGCTATCTGCTACCCTTTTAAAATCTGCTATGAAACGTGTATTTAGTTTTAGGCAAACTTTTTCCTGTCGTCTCTTGCAACGGATGGCAAGGATGGACATTGAAACTTGAAAGTAATGGGAGTTTTGAAGTTTTAAACCTATGCATGGAAAAATGACTAAGAAAGTTATTACACAAGTGATCCCTGCTGTAATAGAGAAGAGAAGTCGTTACGTCACGTTACCATGGTACCAAAATTTCTGGATGACAACAAACTGGAAAACGTCACTTAAAAGTGTTCCAGACTTCATCGATCTCGTTCAGTTTCAATTAATTTGTCAAATGTTGGCTAAATTTTCTGGGGTTAAATCCAAAAGGACCGTATTTAAGTTAGAAAATGAAATCGTGTTTTGTTCACCTAGTTTATAAAGCGGACGCGTGAAATTAGAACATTTCACATCGTTTTTTTACAGTCATGCTAAGACGGCTAAGAAATGTACAAAAAAGCGTGATGCACGTGCAAAGTTGTTGTTTTTCTATCTAAACTTATTGCTTTTTTTTTTACCGTTTTCGTTGCCGTCGCCGTCGTTGTTGCTTAAGCTCCCTATTGTTGTGATGCAAATATTTTGCTACCATGGTAACATGACGTCACACTTCTCCTCTCTACTTGTTTGATATCTTCATAACCAGTATATAGGAGTATTTTGTGCTTAAACAAATTTATAAAAGCTCTAAGTAATGACTTCAGCATCACAGAAGCGATCATGACCTGAAATATCAATTTGCTTGTGACGTACGTAACCCCTTTGGGTAATTATTATCATTATTATTTTCATTTTTATTTTAGAAATTCAAAGAGCATTCATGCAGGAGGTAAGCGTTTCATGTGAAAAAAGGGAGTGGAAACCCAATTGTGCAGAAATTGCAACATTTATCAAAGAATAAATTAACAGCTAAGTTAAAGAAGGAATCTAACAGGAAATATTTAAGTTGAAAATAGGTGCATATGAATTTAAAATCTGTTTATATCTATATATTATTTCATAGTTGAGAATGGTTCAAAAAGGGGCAGACTCAAAAGAAATTAGCCAAAGACACGTGCAGAGGATGAAAATGAAAACCATGCTCTTTCCATACTGTGAAAATTAGAATTTGTTCATATAACCAAGACATGATATAAAGTAATCCAAAAATATTTAAATGGAAGCGTTTAACTTAAAAGAACTAAAATCGCAGCACTAACCTTCCACGTAAGCTAAGTAAAGTTCTAATGACAAGAACAAAATGGTAACGCTTTGACCGCGAGGAAAGGAGTTCATATTTCTTGCATGTCAACTCATCACCTTCTGAACCGACCAGCGCACATCACCACTTAAGCAGCCAGAACTGGTGAACGGAAGTTGAAACTCCAATATATAATGAAAACGCCTACCTAATAATGCTTAATAATGCTTCTAAATCCACCTGCTGTAGACACAAGTTAAAAATTAAACAGCTGCATGCTGTCATCTACATAGTGTTGTACCGAAGTTCGAATTCAGTTTGAAAATTAAATCAAACATGTGTTGAAACAGTTAGACAATTTGTATACTGAAAAGCCTTTAAACAGTTGTCTACAATCCTCCTATAGTTTCTAGGCGCAATACCGCGGTTTTCGGACGATCTTTTACAGTGTAATTTAAGACTCTATGGGAGGTCGAGGTAATATCACTCCGATAGAAATACAGCATGTTTGTTAAACCAGGCTTTAAAAAATGAAATATCTTAAAATATTATTAATAGACTGATTTTAAAATCAGACATTTGCAAAGAGGCTGAAACGAGGCCTACTATTTTAACATAACAGGCATTCAAGACGAAAAAATGCGCGACCAGGGGCTACGAATTGACCGAAGACGGTCGGCAAGGTTTTAACGCTTAATTGAAGTTTATTAATATTCATTACAGAAAATGCCCCACCTGTATTCTTTGAAAATTACTCAGCAGAAAAGAGGTGATCTGGCTTTTCTCCATATCTACATGTTCAGCTTATTTTCTCAGTTAATAGGCTGCTCCTCCAAATGAACCGGGATTTTGAGGTCATGATTTTCTACGTGCAGAGAAAGTTTGTTTGACTATTCAGGAGCTAAATGCTTTTGAAAAGGTAAGAACAATATTCTTTTGTGATGGTGTTAGAGTTTCAAAATATGCGTGGGGTGCAAATTGATAATGTTTTTTTCAGGAAGTTCGATTCAATAAGGGTCCGCACGCGGCAGTCTGTAAGAGTCTGAAACATCCACTAATTTTTTAATTCATATGCATGGAGAAAGTAATTAAGACACCAAATTTGGCATGATAAAGACGTTCATGATAATAAAATACCGTAAAATTCCGAAAATAAGCCCCTCCATGTATAAGCCCCTCCAAATATAAGCCCCCGGGGGCTTGTACTTAGAAAATTGCCCTCAAATACAAAGTAAAACAAAGCAAAAACAGTAAATTTACTTTCGACTAAAAGGCTAGCTCAATCGATTCTGAAACGCAAATTTCCCTCCATAGATAATCCTCTCCGAATATAAGCCCCTCCAAAAATAGGCCCCTCAAAAAGGGCCTTTGAAAAATATAAGCGTCGGGGCTTATTTTAGGAATTTTACGGTATACCAGACTAACGTAGCGATATAGTTAAAGATGGGAAAAGATGGGCCAACGGTATTATCACTTGTTGCAACTACACAAATAACAGTCTGTGACTTGAGTAACGAAAGTTATTGACCTGTCAACTAATCTGACTAATATTTTTTCTCGCGCGGGAGAAAGCTGTTTTTTCAGTTCAGGTTCTAATTTTCAGTTTCACCAAAGAAATTTTCCAAGGTTCTGAAGGCATCAGAGTCGTTTCTGGGTAATATTAATTTAATAAAACTTCTGATAGGAGATTATATTATCATAACTGATTGTCCTATGGCGAGTGGCAAGTTTATGAATTCTGTGAAATAGGGTACTTGATTTTTGCTTAATTCTAAAATTCTACAACTTGTTCATTTTAATCTAGTGAATACATCAGTCAGTCCTTTTGCTCTATTGTAATCTCTTCTCCTTGTAAGCAGAAAAATTTATTCGTTTCCTAGTATTCAGTTTTTTCTTTAGTATTTACAAAAACAAAACACTTATGTACGGTGGTCTTGACAACACAGTTCATAAAATTTTTGCAATCAAGTTTCAATAGGTCATTTTCACGATGACGATGTTTGATTTCAACTACTAAAATTCATTTCGTCTTTACTTTTTTGTTTAAATTTGTCAATTCCACTGAGGTTTAAAGAACAAAAGCCTTAATTTGCACTAGAAAACAGCAAACTGAAGGATTCTGGTAGTTGTAGTAAAATGACGTCATCATGCAATTGTCCTATTAGGGCTTAGAAACACCTCTAAAAGGCTATTCCAGGATAATCAAGGAGAGTAAGTTAATTATTAGAGAACTAATTTCTTTCCTGGAAAGGTGTTTGCATTTGCGATATCGAAACTGATAAATAATTTTGGCAACAAGCTTCGTTTGTTCAAGTGACTAGTTCGTTCACACCAGCCTCTACTCTGAAGGTCGCACAATAACCAATTTCGCTGGTCTCATTAGAACCGTCCTGACTTTAATGCCACACGCCCTGATCATGACACCTTTTAATTTATTTTTGGGTGAGCTATTTTCAGCCGAATTTCACGGCTCACTTTCCCGGCTGTAAACTGGAATCTCGACTGCATGCTTTGAAATAATCTTAGTACAACTTAGATTTGTTTCTTAAATATGACTTAAGTAAGCAGGTTTTTTTTTCCATTTTTGCAAAATTCTCCACTGTTTAAAAATTCGTCACCTTTAATAACAGCTCCACAAATAGTAAAATACTTCATGAGTCCAGTTAGTAACTGAAACAGTGACTTATACAGCATACTAATCAACAATAGCAGTGAGCTGGCTACACTAATTAGAGTACACGAAAAGAAGAAAAAAGAAAAAAAGTAAATGACTAACAAATGAAAACACCTGAGAATGAAAAGAAAAGCCAAAAATATGAAAGCTGTTAGTTGAACACGATTCCCCTAATGGACTCTTGGAAATTAGCGAGCAGGATCAAGGAAGATTGGTCCATCTTGTCCGCCAAAGTTACCAATCAAAACACAGGATTCGATTAATGAACCCGCCTTCTCGCTTAGGCAGCCATAAAATGATCGCCAAGACTTTTTAGGACAATACCTCCAAAGTTTTATTAACTGCTAATTTTAAAGGTCTTTGAGAACTTGTACGCCAGTAGCAAAGCCTTAAAATATTTTGTCGCAAATCTCGCACTACAAGTGCACGAGAGGGATGGCCTTTGTCTACAGCATTAACTAAATGCAATACCTCCCAAGTTTTATTAACTACTAATTTTTAATGTCTTTGAGAACTTGTACGCCAATAACAAAGCCATAAAATGTTTGTCGCAAATCTCGCACTACAAGTGCATAAGAGGGATGGCTTTTGTCTACAGCATTAACTAATGCATGGCAATAAATTTAAAATTATTAGAAACATTGAACGATCGCTGGTGTTGCTCAATAGACCAGTTCCGATACATTAAAATTCAAGCTCAAGAATGAATAATACATTCCTTTTGTTTTATTCCCCCAAACCTGAAAGCCAAGTATGAAGTGTAATATATCGAAAATGGTCTATTGACTGTTTACGCAAGTACTGTAAAAATACGGTCAAATACTGCGGTGCTAGCGGTTTTTTCTCGCGGCGAAGTTAAGATGTTGGCTATAGATGGTTTTCACAGTGACGTCATCAAATTGTAAAGTCAAAATAGCGAAGTTTTACGAATTCTTGTTTACACTAGGTTAAAGATAAACAAAAAATAAATCTTTGCACAAGTTTTCATTCCCGTAGCATATAACATCCAACGGTTTCGTAAGCTGGAGGAAATAGCAACAGATTAGTTTCATCTTATTGCATTTAAAAAATATGACGAAATGTATGCCCGCTTATATTCTTTAAATGCAGCAAAATCAAACACACGATTAACAGTAATTTTATAAATTCTAGGTGGCGTCTCTGAAACTCGTTAACAACGCATGGAGGAGAAACAAAGAAATGGAATATGATCGTCATAGCATTTTTCGAACTTCGAAGAATGAATTTCTCTAAAAGTTGAATAGAGCTAATTATTTGAGGAACTATATCAAAACACGCCTGCTATAAATGACGTGTATCAACCAATATTCCGAAACATCGAAATCGATGAGGAAAATGGGTCGCAACTCTTTTTAAAAACTTCTTTGTGTCTTGATATCCCACTCGTGTTTTGTATATTTCCACTGGTGGCCGGATATTGGATGAAACACTCCCACTGGTGATTCGTATTTCACTTTTCATGTCCTGATATCAGACGAAACGCTCCTTCATCTGTTTGATATATCACCTCTGAGAGTCTGGATATCACACGAGATTCTGCCATCTGTTTTTGAACACACGCGGTCAGTACTGGGATGTCAGATTTAACACTTCCTCTCCTGCGTGTTTGTTAAATCTCGGTGATTGAATATCAGACGAAACACTGTCACTCGTCTTCTATAGAGAATCTGTCAATGAGCGTCTTGATGTCAGGCAAAACACTTTCAGACATGTTTGAGATATTTGCAGGTAGTTAGTTTTGTTTTCGTTTTAAATGTTTTGCAAATCCTTTCAATACATCTACCATATCCCTACATTGATTCTCCCTTTTCCTTTCAATTCTTGGTCTAATATATATGATTAAATCTGTCTAGTTATTCCTCAATAGACGCACGTATAGTTAAGAATTGTTTATAGTAGAACTACACTTTTGTTAAATAGGTTATTATACTTTTAGTAGGTTATAGGTTATTCGCTTTACCTTTGCAAAGCTTGCCATCACCAGCAAACCCCTCCTTACACGAACATAGGTAAGATCCTTCACTATTCCGACAGATGGCATTTATATCACAGATGGAAGAAAAGACACTGCATTCGTCAATATCTGGGCAAATTGAAATATTTGAGATAAGGAAAAAAATCTGTATAATAATAAACGATACAGGACTAAATCTGAAAGAAGTTGCTCGCTTAAAGCTAGCAAGCAAACAACAGCCCAGCGATCCCACTGAATTGTCTCGAAACAACGCCTAATTCATAGTCATGTCAGTCTGTGAATCAGAATATTTCTGAACCAAGAACAAATAATCATTGTTTCATTTGTTTTGTCATGAAAAAGTACTTTGTCAGTTGTACTCTTGTAACAAAAAATTGCGTGTGTAGCTACAATCTGTGTGAGAGGGAGGGGAAAAGGAGTATTTAAGTTCCCATTTACCTTGGTTGCCAAGAAAACTAGGAAGGCCATGCGCGCTCTTTTTGTTCTTTCCACAAAGCAATATTCTGCCCCCAGACTCGTACCCAGTCGCTATTTATGTGTTTTGGGGGTGAGAGAAGATTGGGGGTTAGATTGAGGCGCGCGCGGGGTCTCATGGGAAGGGACGCTATTTTTCCTTCGTCCCTTCCCATAACACCCCGCGCGCGCCTCAACCTAACCCCCAATCTTCTCTCACCCCCAAAACACATAAATTGCAACTGGCTACTAGTCTGTTCTGCCCCCTTAATTGTCCCCGGGTACGCTTTCGTTCGTCCTGACGACCTCACAAAGTTGTGAGCAAAGGTTCATACAGAGTACTCCCTCGCTTTATTTTACTTCTTCTGCCTAACAAAAACAAATGAAATCAAAGCTGGCTCTTAAAATAATTCTTAATCAGCGGCATCCTTCAGGTAATGGTGTGAGAAGGAATGGTAGAAAAACAAAATCGTTTTCTATTTAATTATTCTTACCCTGTCCACAATCTTCGCCGGTAAAACCCGGCGCACATACACAACGATACCGTTGGTCTGTAAATCCCGACTGGCAGGTAGAATTGTTATGGCATGGATTGACGTCACAAGCACTCTTTCAAGAAACAAATGAACGGTGAATGAGATGAAAAGGTATTAAATGATGTAGCAATCTAAGTAATCAAAGTGAAACTTGTCTGGGAAAGACATGCGAAAATTTCCTCCACAAACAAATGACAGTCGGCAGATATGGCAAATTAGACAATGTGACGACAGTGACATAGGCTCGCGCTGATCTAAAAACCGAAATGACCCATGGCAGAGAGGCTAATTAAGCTCTACAATTCCCTTTGACCTTTCCACGCTCTATCATGTTCACATTTGCCGTTGTGTTGACTAAATCTGCCGAGTAGTCGTGCTTTTGTCTATTTCTGCATCCGATCTGCATACAGGAAAGAGAGTGTGGGTATTAAGTGGGCAAGTCTGTTTTAATTTTTTACAAGGCTACAATAGTATGGACCTATGCTGTATTTCTTGCATGGTTTTGTCCCGTGTTTTCTAGGTTGGTTGTGGCCAATTTTTTATTTTCTCTGCGAGACATCAACTTGACACTTGGACTCTTACCCCCCAGAAGACACGTGGTATAGAGTGATTCTGTGGGTGTTAGGAGTTCTGGGTCAGGACTAAAATCAGAGTGCGCGGATATTTTTTCATCAGAGCCTGATCTCTGGTTGTTACGCCATACTGACGAGCCCCAAAGAGGCCGAAACAGCTGTCTATGGCTACATCCCGCTCTGTTTTGAGTTCTTTCGGTGTCGTGTTGATGTCTTGCAGAGTTAATTTTCACGTAGTACGATCAGCATTGCAGTATTCTGCTTGCAGAATTTATTACGTCTACAATAGTATGCGCTCTCTGATTGGCTATTTTCTTGTAATGACTGTGCATTACTAGCTAGGTTTCCAAGGCATATACAATAGTGCACATCCCTATATGATCTAATGACAGCTGTCACAATAGGGTATCTGCTGAACAGTGTCACATGACTGTCTCGCGGGCGTCGGTGAAAAATTCATTGAGGTGACGTGTTTTATTCAATTTTTCTGCTGCCCAGTTATGGTATTCAACTGATCGCAGGCTTAGAAAACTTTACTTCAGAAAGACATTTCTTCAAAGTTCCCACGAGAGCTTCGCTTTTAGCTTGGCTAAATCTAAATCTAAGTCTAAATCTTATGATGTACTCTTACATCTGCTCCATGGTATACGTAGTCGGCATCGTCCTCCAGGTGATAACCATACCCTCGATGAGTTGCATTGTTCAACTCACAGCTCCTTGTTTTCTCTTCGAAATTAATACTGACGCAGTTAGATTCCCACAAACAAAGTATCTCGCAGAAACCTACATCTGGAACCTGCTGAGTTCTTATTACGTGGTTCTGCAGACGTTTGGCGGTAAAGGAGAAGGAAGCTGGAAACCGCAGTCCTCGACATTCACCTGAAACAGTCAACAACCGTCCACGCACATGAACAAAACACTGCACAAAAAAATAGATCAAATTTGCTCTGGGCAAATATATGTTGCAAAAGGGGGACAAAGATGGTAAATACTGCATTAGTATCCATAATTTTATAGGGTTGTACAGTGGCGGATCTAGGGAAAGGGGCAGAACAGAACCTAGACACACTAGACACAAATGACCCTTATTAAAAGGCATTTAATTTCCACCCAGAAGACTTCAAGTGTCACGTGGCGAGCAAACATGGATTGGGACGGCGAATGCCAGGTTATTCATGAATTTTCTGTTGTTAAATGTTGCTTTTGTTGATTAAAAATTTTTGAATTCAAATATATGAAATGACTCATATCTTTTTTTGGTGACATGTCACAGAAAGTTTGATGTCTTTCATAAAAGCGATTCTCGTTGGCCACGTGATTAATTAGGGCAGAAAAATTTACGTCGGAAGACATGCATGTTTGACCAAAGAAAACAATTTAAGTTTATTACAAAGTGCGATAGAATTATTACAAATTGCGACAGCTTAGTTTATTACAAAGTGCGATGGATGGATGGATCCAGTCTGGATCCAGCACTGTTGTAAATCGGGGGTAAATGGGGTAGTTAATAGTGAAACATTTATGTACCGTTGTGTTGTTGTAGACTGAAACGAGAGAGTCAGTTTATGTTGAAACTGGTTTACTTTGGCACCAGAAATGACTTCAAACGCGGAGAATGTATGAAAATACAAGTAGGCCGTGGAGGGAGGAGAGAGCTTAGTTGCTCTGCTGAATAGATGACAACTCTTTTGTGACATCCAGTTCCGGACAGATTTTGAAAGGTACTTATTTGGAAGCGATTCAATTGAAAAGTAGCTTACGTACTTGTATTTTATTAAATATATGTTTATAATTTAAGTGATTTTAGATTCTTAGTTTTTATTGATGTCTATTTCATGTTTTAAACTTTTATAACCATGTAATTTTTTTTAAACTTTTACCATTTTTTAAACTTCATCGTGTAATTTTTTTTAAACTTCAATATCATGTAAATTGTTATTTTCGTTAATGATTTTAGTCTAAGAGCACCCCCTGCTGTAAATCACTAATTAAGTGAAGTTGGCATCCTCAATAAAGATTATCAAGCATCATATTCATCATCTCAATGCTAAGCAATTACTGGGTTTACTTCACGCTATCTGCTACCCTTTTAAAAACTGCTATAAAATGTGTATTTAGTTTTAGGCAAACTTTTTCTTGTCGTCTCTTGCAACGGATGGCAAGTATGGGCATGAAACTTGACACTGATGGGATTTTTCAAGTTTTAAACCTATGCATGGAAAAATGACCAAGAAAGTTATTAGTCATCCCTGCTGTAATAGAGAGGAGAGGTAGTTACGTCACGTTGCCAAGAAATTGTGTCGTGTTCACCTAGTTTATAAAGCGGACGCGTGAAATTCGGAAGATTCACGTCGTGGTCGTGCTACGACGGCTAAGAAATGTACAAAAAAGCGTGATGCAGGTGCAAAGTTGTTGTTTTACCAATATGAACCTATTGATTTTTTGCCGTTTTCTTTCCGTCGCCGTCACTTCTCCACCTTTACTTGTTTGATATCTTCATAACCAGTATATAGGAGTATATTGAGCTTGAACAAATTTAAAAAGCACTAAGTATTCATCATCACAGAAGTGATTACGACCTGAAACAGCAATATCCTTGCGGGACGTACGTATTACCCCTCTGGGTAATAAATATATGTTGTTGTTTTTTTTTATTTTAGAAATTCAAAGAGCATTCATGCAGAAGGTAAGCGTTTCATTTGATAGAAGAGTTTTGAAACCCAGTTGTGCAGAAATTGCAACATTTCTTAAAGAATAAATTAACAGCTAAGTTAAAGAACGAATCTGCCAAAATAGATTTAAGTTGAGAGTATGTGCATACAAATTTAAATTTGTATTTATATCTATATATTATTCTATAATTGAAAATGGTTCAAAAAGGGGCAGAAATTAGCTAAAGACACTTGCAGAGGATAAAATTGATAACCACACTCGTTCCATTCTGTGAAAATTAGAATTTGTTCGTATAACAAGACATGATATAAAGTAAGCGAAAGATATATTTAAACGGAAACGTTTAACTTTTAATTAAAAGAACTAAATCGCATCACTTACCTTCCACGTAAGCTAAGAAAAGTTCTAATGACAAGAAGAAAATGGGAACCCTTTGACCACGAAGAAAGGAGGCCATATTTTTGCATCTCAACACATCGCTATCTGACCACTTTAGCAGCCAAAACTGGTGATAATAATGAAATAGCCTGCATGGAGGACTCTTAATAATGCTTCAGTAAATCCGCCTGCTGTAGACACAACTTAAAAATTAAACAGCTGCATGCTGTCATCTACGTGCTGTCGAATTCAGTTTGAAAATTAGATCAAATATGTCGTGTTACCACAACATGTTAGATAATTTGTAAATTGAAAAGCCTTTCAACATTTCTCTGCAATCCTCCTATAGTTTCTAGGCGCGATACCGCGGTTGTCTGACGATCTTTTACGGTTTAAAAGGTGCTATGGGAAGTCGAGGTAATATTACCCCACGAGAGATGAAACATGTTTCTTAAAAAAAAAGTAAACATATTAAAATATTAACAGACTGATTTTAAAATGAGAGATTCGCAAAGAGGCTGAAACAATTAAGGCGTACTAACAGGGGCACCCAAAGAGAATATAGTTCAAAACCACTTAAACATAGCATTGTTGAACGTACTTTAGTATTTAAACGGTAGATAAAGGCTTATTTTTATCCCCTACAAATTTTTCATCTGTTCGGATTTCCTAGCTGAAAGTATAGTGATCCGAAACTTATAGGGATCAAAATTTACCTTTTCGAAAATTTCAGCCAGAAAAAAGGCTCCCGAAAATTCTAGGTGACTTTTTTAGGGTAAAAATCCGTTAAAAATGGGCAATTATACGATTTTTATGAAGTTCGAAAATCCTAGGAGAGGCAGGCAAGCAAGAAATTTTTCAGAAAATGATCCGAAAATTCTAGACCTCAAATCGTCTTCCGAACAGATAATTTTCCGAAAATTGTCGTTGGGTGCCCCTGTACTAATTTAACATAACAGGCATTCAAGACGAAATGCGTCACCAACGGCTACGCATAGACCGAAGACGGTCGGCAAGTTTAATAATATTCGTTGGAGAAAACCCCCCACCTGTGTTCTTTGAAAATTACTCAGCAGAAAAGAGGTGATCTGGCTTTTCTCCATATCTACATGTTTAGCTTATTTTCTCAGTTAATAGGCCGATCCTTTGGCAAATGAACCGGGATTTTGAAATCATGATTTTCTACGTTGATTGCAGAGAAAGTTTGTTTCACTACTCAAGAGCTAAATGCTTTTGAAAAGGTAAGAGCGATATTCTTTTGTGATGGTGTTATCTTGGTCGTTGGCAGAGTTTCAAAATATGCATGGGGTGCAGATTGATTTTTTTTTTTTTTTTGACGAAGTTCGAGTCAATAAGTAAACGGTCCACACGCGGCAGTCGATAAGAGTCTGAAACATTCACTAATTTTTTAATTTATGTGCATGGAGAAAATAATTAAGACACCAAATTTGGCATGATAAAGATGTTCATGATAATAAAATACCCTAAAATTCCGAAAATAAGCACCGGGCTTATATTTTTCAAATGCCCTTTTTGAGGGGCTTATTTTTGGAGGGGCTTATATTCGGAGGGGCTTCTCTACGGAAGGAAATTTTCGTTTCAAAATCGATTGGGCTAGCCTTATAGTTGGAAGTAAATTTACCGTTTTTGCTTTAACTACCGTAAATTCCGAAAATAAGCCCCGGGACCTATATTTTTCAAAGGCACTTTTTCAGGGGCTTATTTTTGGAGGGGCTTCTCTGCGGAGGGAATTTGCGTTTACAAATCGATTGGACTAGCCTTATAGTTTGAAGTAAATTTACCGTTTTTGCTTTGTTTTACTTTGTATTTGAGGGCAATTTCCAAGTACAAGCCCCCCGGTGGCGGGGGCCTTCTATTTGGAGGTGCTTATACATGGAGGGGCTTATTTTCGGAATTTAACGGTATACCAGACTGACGTAGCGATATACCGTAAAATTCCGAAAATAAGCCCCTCCATGTATAAGCCTCTCCAAATAGAAGCCCCCCAAGCCGGTGACGCAAAAAACCCTCCGTTAAATCCTCCCCCCAGGGGCTTGTACTTGGAAAATTGCCCACAAATACGAAGAAAAACAAAGCAAAAACGGTAAATTTACTTCAAACTATAAAGTAGTCCAATCGATTTGTAAACGCAAATTTCCCTCCGTAGAGAAGCCCCTCCGAATATAAGCCCCTCCAAAAATAAGCCTCTCAAAAAGTGCCTTTGAAAAATATAGGCCACGGGACTTATTTTCGGAATTTACGGTAGTTAAAGATGCAAAAAGAAGGGGCAATAAATATTATCACTTGTTGCAACTACACAAATAACAGTGGGTGACTTGAGTAACGAAGGTTAATGACCTGTCAACTACCGCTGACTAATATTTTTTCTCACGCGCGAGATAGGTGTTTTTCCAGTTCAGGTTCTAATTTTCAGTTTCACCAAAGAAATTTTCCAAAGTTCTGATGGCATCAGAGTCTTTGTTTTTTTTTTCTTATTTTGTCCTTAGTCATCCTAAAAGATGGGTAATATCAGTTTAGTAAAACTTCACATAGGAGATTATATTATCCCAAGTTGTTCCAGTCTATGGCGAGTGGCAAGCTTATGAATTCTGATAAATAGGGTACTTGATTTCTGCTTAATTCTAAAATTCTACAACTTGTTCATTTTAATCAAGTGGATACATCAGTCAGTACCATAGTCCTTTTGCTCTGTTGTAATCTCTTCTCCTTGTAAGCATAGAAATTTATTCGTTTCCTAGTATTCAGTTTTTTTATTTAGCCGGTTGTATTTACAAAAAAAAAACACTTATGTACGTTGGTTCTTGACAACACAGTTCATTAAACTTTTGCAATATCTATTGAACGATAGCTGGTAATGCTCAATAAACCAGCTCCGATATATTAAAATGCAGGCTAAAAAATAAATAATACATTTCTTTTGTTTTATTGCCCCATGCCTCGGAGCCAAGTATGAATTTTAATATATCGGATATGGTCTATAAATACTGTAAAAATACGGTCAAATACTGGGTGCCAGCGGTTTTTTTCTCGTGGCGAAGATGATGTGTCTTCACAGTGACGTCATCAAATTGTATAGTCAAAACTGAGCAAAGTTTTACGAATTCTTATTTACACTAGGTTGAAGATAAACAAAAAAAAAATCTTTGCACAAGTTTCCATTCCCGTAGCACGTTTCATTTCGAAAAAACAGCAATTTGAACTTCCGAATTTTCACAGTGCGTGACAACAAAATAGGAATGCTGTCTCGTTGAAAAAAAAGTCTCTCCTCTTGATTTTCAGCGGTATAGCCATCTCAAGTATTAGAAGATATGTATATACTCTCGTATGCTAGTTTTCGAGTGAAAAGAAAGAGTTTTTATAGAAAAAGTGAACTGCATATGTTTTTGTTGATTTCCGGCGGCCATATTGGTGCACCAAAACTGTACACCATGTGGCGTCTCCTTACAAAGCTCTACTAAGGTGTGTGAAACGTTTTGGCGAATTACTCAGAAACTGTGGGCCACAAAGACCTTAGACTATTATTCTTATTATTGTTATTATTATTATTATTATTATTAATATTATTATTATTATTGTCATTATTATTATTATTATTACTTATTACTCATTATAACAGCAATTGGCCGCCCATTCTTCAGTGCCTCATTATATATTAAGTAATTTTACTTTCTGTTCCAACAAGGAAATGCTAACAGAAACGTTATTTGATGACTTTAAGATATCTTCTTATGATTTATCCTATTATGTGTTTATGAAAATAACGATTAATAATTATTATAATTGTTTATAATTATTACTATTAAATTATTATTATGTTTGTTTGTTTGTTTGTTCCTTTCTCTAAGGTGCATGTGACCCTCACTTTTTTTTTCTCACTTTTAGCGAACAAAGTTCACTAAGATGAATGTCTGGGTGCATTACATTTACTGGTCAAAGAAATACCCTCAAAATCCGGACGATCCTATATGCAAAGCAGTGGTCATTGAATAGCATACCGATGATCCTCGATATAAGAGAACATGAATTTTCTCGCTTTAATGTACTCATTGATTATAAATTTACTGCTATATCGCAAGTCAACTGAACCAAGCCAGGAAGAGATTTTATCGTAAGTACTAATAAAACCCCTCTCAAAGCTCATACAAAAAATATCCGTTTTTTTTTTCTTGTCTTGTGCATACGTGCGTTGCCTGATTAAAAGAGGGTCTAAGGGTCGCTCCAGGTTACACACTCTGTTGTGCCAATAGAAAAAAGTGTGGGGGGGGGTATTTAAAAAGTACGAATTACGAAATCACCCTGGTATTGAGTAGATCTAAAAAAAGCTTATAAAATGAGGGGGGAGATGAAAAAGTCTCAAAATGTAATATTCGAATACTCTGAAATTCCGTACTCTTTAATCATTCTTTTTTGGGTCGTGTTTGTATCGGTAAAATGGAATTTAATTAAGTATTACAATTTGTACTCAACTTTGAGATGAGTGATATTTTTTTTTTTTTACTGATCTGGAATCAACTACGTAGTAACTGTTTTATTAACTTGATCATCAAAAGTTTTTACAAGCTTTCTTTATTACGGGTGTTAATTAACAGATCATTCTCTACTGATCTTAACTTCTGTCCAGTGGATAACACAATTGGTTTCCCTAATACGTATCAACCGGATATAAAGTGAGTTATCCGGTGGACCGTACGTACTATTAAACTTTTGAACCTACCGGGAGCACGAAGACATTCGATTCTGTATCTTTTATATTGAGGCTCTCTATTCCGACGAAATCAAAGTCGCAACGATCGCTATTGTTTGGAGGACGATCTTAAAGGATAACCCTTTAAGCCCTAAGAGTGATCAGCATGAAATTTCTCCTTGTAAAACTCAATGCTTTGTAAAACAGAGTGGTTATGAGGATTACGGATATGATCACACAAGATTAATTTATTTGATATTTTATCAACTTCTAGTCACTACTTCTGTGGAAATGAGTAGAGGTAACAAATAAGAATTCAAATTTTGATTTTAGGGTTTTGCGACGAAAGCGACGTACACACTGGTACCCATAGAGGTTCTCTATATTAAAGTATAAACATGATTGGCCCAAGGTCCACCTTCGCCATCAGCTCCACAAGCGTTAGATTCCCCATGTTTGTCAAATGTTTGGGGAGCTGAAGCACTAGATACACACCATCCGCCATTCTGAACACCAAAAATACTGTAACCTGCTCTTATTGCAGCTACCGCACACTTGGCAATTGCATTTTTTCGAACTCGGTAGTGTCCGTCCAAAATAGGATCCCTCCCCTCCAGGGGTGGAATTGCGCGATCGCCGGTACCTCTGTAGCATCCAACGCTATCATATCCTGAAAAAAGTCCTTGTATTATATGGAACAGTCAACGGCGAACTCAAGTTCATTCAAAATCGCTCAAAAATCCGCTTTTGAGGCAAAAGGACGACTATAAACCACAGGTAGGGTAATTCAACGTTTATTTATGATTGATTTATATACATAGTTAGCGATATATCGCTATAGGTGAAGCAAACGGTAAATCCAGTACCTTTACTATAAAATAACAATCGGCTACACAAACAGATTGTGTGGGCCCCCTGTGATGGAACCACTCTCCTGCAGCGATCGCAGCGATCGCAGCGACTGAACAATCGCTAAGATATAAAAAGTTCCATCTCAGCGATCGTTGTCACAGCGATCGATGGAGAGTGGTTTCCATATGATCGCTGAACTTTTTTTCTCAGTGATCGCAGCGATCACAGCGATCGTAACGTTCATATGGAAATCGGGCTTAATCTATCGCAATAACCATCCACCCTTCCTCCTCAACTGCTACCTGTACGCCTTACTAACATATAGAACGCACTCTTCTAAGCTCCGACTACTCCTAGTTTAATAATTTTTCAACTTTTTTCCCTACTTGTTATCATTATCTTACGATTGACATTCTTCGTCTTAATTATTATTATTAATATTATTATTATCCTCTCTTGTTATTACTTATTATTTATTATAACAGCAATTGACCGCCCATTCTTCAGTTCCTCATTATCTATTAAGTAATTTTACTTTCTGTTCAAATAAGGAAATGCTAACAGAAACGTTATTTGATGACTTTTACTCATGCTCTTATGATTTATCCTATTATGTGTTTATGAAAAAAAAATAATAATTATTATAATTATTTATAATTAATACTGTTAAGTTTGTTTCTTCCTTTCTCTAAGGTGCATGTGACCCTCACATTTTTATTTCACTTTTAGCGAACAAATTTCCCCAAGATGAATGTCTGGGTGCATTACATTTACTGGTCAAAGAAGTACCCTCAAAATCCAGACGATCCTATATGCAAAGCAGTGGTCATTGAATAGCAGACCGATGATCCTCGATATAAGGGAACATGAATTTTCTCGCTTAATGTACTCCTTGATTATAAATTTACCGCTGTATCGCAAGTTAACTGAACCAAGCCACGAAAAGACTTTATTGTAAGTACTAATAAAACCTCTCACAAAGCTCATACAAAAAATATCCCATGAAATTTCTCCTTGTAAAATTCAATGCTTTGTAAAACAGAGTGGCTATGAGGATTACGGACATGATTACACACTCCAAGATTAATTTATTTGATATTTTATCTACTTCTCGCTACTACTTCTGTAGGAAATGAATAGGGGTATAACAAATGAGAATTCAAATTTTGATCTTAGGATTTCGCGACGAAAGCGACGTACACAGGTACCCATAGAGGTGCTCTATATTACTGTATAAACATGATTGGCAAAACGTCCGCCTTCGCCATCAGCTTCACAGTCGTTAGATTCCCCATATTTGTCAAATGTCTGTGGAGCTGACGCACTGGATGCACACCAGCCGCCAAACTGAACACCAAACATACTGTAACCTGCTCTTATTGCAGCAATCGCACACTTGGCAATAGCATTTTTTCTAACGTAGAACTCTCCGTCCAAAATAGGATCCATCCCCTCCAGGGATGGAATTGCTCGATCGATGGTATCGTTGTAGCATCCAACGCTCTCATATCCTGAAAAATGGAAATTGCGTTGGTACTAGTTAATTACCAAAAAATACGAAAGGAATGCATAACCGAATTAATGACCCTAGCTGACTACGTCATCCCGCGTAATTAAGCCCCGTCCACTTGTGTTCAGGTTTCATTTAATTGGCCACTTCACAGTAACCTTGCTTTGTTACATCTTCGCGTTTCGTTATTACCATTTATGGCTTTGTTGCAAAATAAACAAACTACACTTGATGAAAATGGTGAAAAATTAATAAGCACCCAGCCTTGAATAAGCGCCCACTCTCAAGGCCCAAAAATGTAATAAGCGCCTAGGGCGGTTAATCGAATAAATACGGTAAGCAAAACTTTTGCCGTTATACAGAAAGACATCTGGTCCCAGTTGCGGTCAAAAAGGTGGAAAGTGCTATCCAATGGATAAATTACTATCTAAAGGATAGCGCACAATTGGTTCTCGTAATACTCATCAACCGAATAGCAATTTTCCAGGTGGAAATCGCTCTCCAACGTTTGACGATAAGCTTCTGCAGTATGTTTGAGATCTTGTTTCCCACCGACTATCCCGCGATTTCTATTGTTCAGTGCGACTCTGGTTGTGTCGCGAAATTCTCTCAACTGCTTCATTTCGTAAGATGATTGTTGCAGTCTGCAAATCCTAAGGTGCTACTTAAGATCGGGGATATACTACTAAGACCGTGGAACCCTTATAGTCTATAGCAGATCAAGAGATCCTCTCTTGACTCTTACCAGATTTAGTTTAGCTGACTTTTGTTACACTATACCTGACTATTAAAACTCCCAAAATCCTTCCCATCCTTTAGTCGCTATTTCCAGACAATACCAAGGTCGACGCTTTTGCTATTAAACTGAGTTTTCAGCAACTTTGAATTTTCGGATTTCATGTTTTAGGTGTCAATTCGCAGTTTCCCAAGTCCAGACTAAAGTCATCAACCATTTGTTCAGTTTCCTGGAAAATGATACCCAGTTCTAGACCAAAACGCCCTGAATTCTATGACCCTATCCAAGACTAAACCGCTTGAAACCACAACCCTCAGAGTGGTACATTAAACATCATTATTGCATGACGCTGAATGGTTCATGTGAATAATTATGCAGGTCGAGAAGAATGTTTTTGGCCGAGGTGGATAACAGCCTCCGAGATTAGCATAATTCTTCACATCATACGAAAGCCCAATTCAATAATTGTTTTATTATTCATTCAAAATGTTTCTTAGTTCTAGTAAAGTGAGCATAAATCCTCGTACACTATGTTGAAAACTTAGTCTTTAGTTTTTTGGAAAGCCGAGAACGCCGTTTATTAATTTACTGTCACTTAAGCAGCCTCGATTTCAGGCAAATATACCATCGAACAACCTAAATATACCATCGCATCGATGATACATTGCTCGCATCTTCCAAATATGATAACTGCCAGTTGCTTATGAAAAAATGGCCGAAAGATTGGAGCCAATCAGAGACGGTGAAATATTTTGGATGAACAATAAACCTATGTAGCCCATATATCGTACCTTTGATGTA